CGCCGATCATCGAAAGTGAGACGAGAATTCGTTCCGTTTCTCGCATATCGAGTGCTGAAAAGTCGCCATCGGAATCGCTGATGCATAAATAATTTTTCGACAAGTCGCTGATCTCTCGGTATGTCGTTGTTATTGTACGTCGTAATATGATCCGATATCCGAATGGAAATTTAATCCGCGACGCTTACGTCAGTAGGACGAGGTTTTTAATTATCCGGACGGAAAAAGCGCCCGGTTCCGACAGCAAAACAGGTGACTCGTTTCGATTTAGCCGAGTTTTATCTCGCGAGTTATACATAGATATATACAGAGATAAGGGTGATTTTTCGTGTCACTTCTGTCATTACGCAACCCGATAATTAAGCGTGTAGATTTGCGAATCGTGAAATGTCAGGGCGGATAGACCCGATTATTACGTGTGCATAAAGTGTGACAAAGCGTTAAAAAATGTCAGGTCAAATAAACGAGGTGAGCGAAGGTGGTGCCTGCGAGAAATTAAAAGAACTTGTTTTCTTAGAAAGTGCACCTTACTTTGCGAATTTGTGGTGCGCGTTAAAGAAAGTAAAAAAATTTGAATTTTTTTGAATATCTTATTTCCCTCTATAATTTTAACTCTCTCTCTTTCTGTTTTTCTTTTTATCTCTTTTTTCCCTTTTAATATAATTAATAATTTCTAATTTTTATTATACTTATACATAATTATAATAATTATTATAATAATATTTTATTATATTTATACATAATTATAATAATTATAATAAGTTTTATTTATTATCAAAATAATAGTATGATTTTTTTAATTACAAAATTGTTTAATTATAACATTAATTATAATTATAATATTATAATTGTTTAATTATAATATTTATTATTATAATTTAGATTTTTTATATTAGTTATATTCAAGCGTTGTAGAAGTTCCGACATATGTATATTTATCAGAAAAATTTGTAAATCTCTTGTTTCTCCTCCATAATTATGACTTTTTCTCTCTCTTCCTCTCTTAATGTAATTAATAATTTGTAGATTTTATTATACTTATTTTTTTGTAGATTTTATTATACTTATATTACACAATCATAACAGTTATGCAATATCATTACAAAATCGTTGAATTATATTTATTTATATCGTTGCAATGTATTTATAAAATCTTCGAATTGTAATATTCATTGCTACAAATTTTTTATCTTTTATCTCATTAATTGACCGAGCATTATAAGTGTGCTCGGACGTATTCAGAGAAAAGAAAAAATTAATATAGATTGATATCTGATTTTCTCGACTTGTTTATTGTAACAAATACACTTCAAGTGTGCCGATCGAATCATTATAATCATTTAATCAACATCAATTTCGTGATTAGCGTTCATCAAAACGGAGAAACAAACAGACTCGCGAGTTTGAAAAAAGAATTGCCCTCTACCATGCGGTGAATCAATTTGATCCGCGCTCCCGAGAGAAATGTAACTCTCGTTTCTTTCACCCCCTCCCTCCCTCCCACCCTCCCACCCTCGCTAACGCATCCGCTCCGGTTCTCTATCCGGAGCTGTGTCTGTTGAACGATCTCATGCCGCTAAATACGCGCTTTCTGGGAAACAAACGCACTCGATGCCCTGCCCACGTTTCTTCTCGGTCTCGGTACAATTACTTGCGTGCCAGTTTTCGCAATGATATATATGCGACGATGCACGATACGCGATCTCCAGCATTCACGGCGATAACAAGCCTCCGCGGGATCGAAAGCGAAATTTATTGTATTTTTTCCCTCCCATTCATTTTAATGTCGATCTTAGGAACAGTTAAGGTCGCGAAAATTAATTCTTCCAAACGATGTGCTTTTCCATGTCACCTTATTTATAGAAACAGGTAAGCGTGACATTATAACATATTCACTCGTGTCATTTTTTTTATTTCGATAAATTGAGAAATTAGCTGCATTTTATTTTTAGAGTTATTATCTATAATTATTCGTAATTATTTTTACTGTTCATTATAATTTATGGTAATCATGGTCATTATGGTTCATTCTTTCACGATTGTACACGTGCTCTGTTTTACGCTTGTCTACCTAAGACATTGATTTTCCCCATTTCCTATAAAAGATAAAATTGATTTTCCTCCCTGAATTTTAAAAAATCAAAATGAGTTGGATCGATAAATAGATATATATGTTCAATCACATATTTATTCTTTGTTAATTATATTACATATTTTATTTATACACTATTCATATCCATTATTCATGTCGGATATGAATAAAATACACGTGAGATAAGAAAGAAAGTAAAGATGTAAAGTTAACAATGCATCGAACCATAAGTTTTCTCATTCAGAACTTTATATTTCCATCAACATTCTCAGTCTTATATCCCATTCATTATTATTCATTATCATTATACCGTGTCATTTGAAACGCGTCTAACCGTCACTTTCACGACTTTCGGGGATCAGGATTTCTGCCTTTGTTTTAAAATGAAGGAAGACCCGCTTTCTCTCATTTCCTTTTCGAGTACTTCTAATAAGCTTTGAAAGAAACCCGAAGATCCCACGACGCGAATTCTCCCCAACCGATAATAATGGATCGAATGAATTCTCGTTTGTTCCTATCTTCCGACACTTCCCAGGAATATGAATCAGCTAATATTTATGCGGAGTCTCATAACAAAAGATCTTATGAGCCCATCTCTGACTGGACTTAGATTAAAATCGAATAAAAAATGATATGATTAAAATCGAATAAAAAATGATATGAATAAAAAATAATATGATTAAATGCATGATAATCGAGATATCACTGAATAATATCGTGCACGATATGATAAATTATTTTAGAAATATATATCAATTTAATAAATTTGATAAATTTTATAGATATAATAATATAATAATTTTGATAAATTTAATAAATTTTTGCAAATGTGTATTAAGCTATAAAATATTATAAATTTATGATTAAAAGAATGATTGATTATGTAGCTTGATAGAGAGATCAACTTGTCATTCGCTGCAAAATAATGCATCGGTAGAAATGAGCAAGAACAAAGACGTTATTGACATCATGGTCGACAATAGCCTTAAATTCAAGTGAGCATCGAATCGTACTTAAAATGCAGTAGCGCGACGATGTAAAGACCTTGGCAGACCAATGACATTTTCATCAAAGCGATTAAAAACCGTTAACCTTCGCTTGAAACGGACAACGATTCTATCAAACGATTTCTTAATCTCTACGCGACATATTCTATCGCATCTTTCAAAATATATATTTTATAGAATCTATCAAAAAAAGTATATTCGTGAGGAAATTCTTTTAATAAATTGAAATTAATACCCACTTTATATGTCACAATTAGATAATATTAAATTACTAATATTGTATTAAATTTTGCGTTAATTAATTATGTACGTTGTTGCAAGTAAATACAACGATTTTAAAAAAATGGACTTTAATGACAAAGTTGTTATTGAATTGAATGAAATACGAAAATTAAATTGCTTCCATTATTATTTTAATTAAATTAAAAATGAAAGGTTTCGTTTAATTTCGATGTATCTGTTTTAATTTATTGAGGAAGGAAAATTTAAATTTCCGATTAATTTATCGTGTTACACAATCTTGCGCTCATTTTAATATCGAAAGAAAGGCAATCGGTTTATCACTAAATTATATGGAACGTGTATCTGATTAATTCGCGCGTTTGCCTGTTGAAAGTAACGTTGTTACGAAGTAATCGACGTGAAACGCGATTGTAGTGAAAAATAGGATCGTGCTCTCATTCTACGTGGACGATTGAAATTGCATATTGTATAACAAATGGTGTATCACGATGACAAGATCGGCGACGAGATGTAAACAGCTCGGCCAATTTGCTGGAAATGACTTTACACGAATCCGCGAATCGCGAATCGTGCGATGCATTCAAGGCTCGGCCATAACATTTTCGCCGCAACATTTACGACGATCCCTGCGTTCTTTCCTAATAAAAAACCCGAGACCGAGCGCGATCGTGATTTCTTCCCTCGTGACTCACGCAGTGATGTAAATTATAATTTATGCATTTATCCTCGAGTCACACATTTCTTCTCTTTCGATATTCAAACAAAGTTTTTTTTTAACACGACAAATAATGAATTAAATTTTCATCCTATTGTCAATACAAATTTAAACACAGACAATGAAAATATTGTTAAATATTGTTATTAAATTTTGCGTTAATTAATTAGTCAGTTAATACGTTGTTGTAATTATTTCGCGAGTTTGTACAGAGATTTTTTTTATTAAAATATATTTTAATCCTTATATTGAATTTTTAGTCAGAATTATATACTACGAATTAAATTGCTTTGATTATCATTTTAATTAAATTAAAAATAAGGAATATTATTTAATATTATTTAATATTAATTAATTAATTAAAAATAAGGAATCTTATTTAATATTAATTTATTTTATAAATAAAAAAAACTATCTATTGATTTTACTTTACTTTGCTAATTAAAATAATAATCGAAATATTTAAAAAAAGAAATTTGATCAGTGCACTCTTAGATATTTCTAAATATTGGGAGAATACAAGATTTAAATATTACAAAAATAATTCTTGTTTCACTAAAAAATGCAATAATATAGAGCTACCATTGTCTTCTATGGAATTTCTGTTTGGCCTTTTTCTTTTTAAATTCCATTAATATTCATACGTAAAAATTAAGAAAGATACTTTTTCATTATATAAATATAATACAAGCTAAAAATTAAATTATTATCAACACATTAATATAATTTATTCTTAATACAACTAAAATATTATTTTTAATATAAAATTCTGTTATTAAACGATATCTATCAGTCAGCTGATTTAATAAAAATCGAAGAAGAGAACAGAAAGGAATACTAAACTGAGAAAATTTGATTTGCCTCCTTTTCCTCGGCCACGATCGCCGTAATAAACCGTAATAAAGTGCGCTGGAAAGAAAAAAAGGGCACTTCGCATACTCACTTTCGTTCCGCGCTTCGAGTAACTCTCGTTCTCGGGTTCACGAGCGGCCGTTCACGAGTCCAGAAGTGCGGCGTGTTCTTTCATCGTAAATCGGATCACTAGAATCGTAGAGGAGCATCACCGAAAATCGCGAATCCGGAGTAAACGTCCTTGCTCCGCGCAGGAGAGGCGTCCTCGTCGTCCTCGTCGAAGGATAACGGAGGATAACTGATCGCGACGCGGTTGTTGTCCCACCGTGTACACGCCACGGTGTAACATACGAAACTGCCGGTTTGAAAGAGCACTCCTCTTCGGTGGCATAAGGTGGCGGCGGTAGAGAGAGGAAGGATGGCAGGCAGCAGGCACAGCCGGCGAAGCGACTTAACGGGGAAGGAGAGAGAGAGAGGAACTCGTTTCCCGGTGTGTGAGTGCGTGTATAGTGACGCACGCGAGGTTACCCTGCGTGAACTTACGGGGTCCTACGGGGCCGTGGGTCTCGTGGGCCTTGGAACGGCTTCAGTACAAGAGAGGGCAGAGTGTTTGCGGGTCTCCTTTTTTCTTATTTTCGATTAAATTCTTTCGATTTAATTCCTTCGATATTTTTGGGGGATCGATTTAATTCCTTCGATATTTTTCTTATTTTCGATTAAATTCTTTCGATTTAATTCCTTCGATCATTTTTGGACGATACGTCTTGTATTGTGTCAGTAAACTTGTTTTCTCACAATTTTAAATGAGAAGTATGACATACGTATAATGAACTTTCTTTATATTTAATGTTTATAGTATATTTATAAATAATAATATAATACTCTTTTTCAAAAAATAAGGCACAACGTATGGAATTTAAAGAATGTAAACAAATATGAATGAATAAAATAAATATTTTATGTAAAAAGATATATATATTTTATTTAAAAAAATATATATAATATTTTACGTAAAAAAATATATATATATTTTAATTAAAAAAATATATATAATATTTTATGTAAAAAATATGTATAAATAAATTATACATGTTCTCTTTTAATTATATATTTTCTCTTTTTTTCTTTCTCTCTTTCAATACTAAATAAATTTCCTTTGAACCATGGACTCTTTTCGACCAATTCTGATATTTCGATATTTCTTTACAAAAATAATATCTACTCTTTATATCCCTTTTTATATTTATTATTATATATTTATAATAATTATATTTAATTATTATTATAAATATATTATTATTATTATTATTATAAATATATAATAATTATATTATATTATAATTATTGTATATTTATAATAATTATATTATATCCCTTTATATCCCTTTATTTATAATAATTGTTATACTTCCTTTGAGAAGAACCCAAATCTAAAATCGATATTTCGCTCTTCTAATGTTTAGCTTTCCTCCGTCACAAATTTAGTTATTGTCTACTTTTGGTGAACTTTTGATTATTCGTGGCTATATATCAATGTCAATGTAATATATTATATTATTTGTAAAATCGCCATCTAACATTAGTACAAAAAACGAAAAAGCCTAATCGCGAAACGATATCTGGTTGAATGGAAAGGTGAGTGCGCATTTCTTCTCATCCCTCGCATATAATTAAGTGCACTCAAGTTTGCGATGCATCCCGTAGCTATTCCGGAAATTCGACATTAAGAATCCCAAAGGCACCCATCCATCATGCTCGCCAAAACATCGAATTTCCGGCAAATTTCCGAAATCGCGTCGCTTCGAGTATTCGAGCATTAAGCCGCATCCTCAATCGGAGAGATGCGCGATCGAATTCTTGTCTGGAAGAGAATAATAATAAGGTAAGAATAATAGAGAATAAATAATATATGAGAGAATTACACTGAGAAAAATATCCGATGAATTGACTTAATATTCAACGTTTCTAAGAGTTAAAACAACACAATTAATATGTAAATGCACGAATTTTTTATGAAATATGTTATATGTTAAAATGAACAGATAAGTTGTGTATTTTTCTCTTTATAACAGTTTCCATATGTTAAATCGACATATCTTTTCTGTTATTTATCATAAAAACGTAAGAATAACATTTTTAAAAAATTAAATTTAACATTATAAATATGTTAATTTAACATAAACTTTATTTCCAAATAAAGTTAAAGTGTTTTGTGTTAATTTTTAAACATATTACTTGTGTTATTTATTTACATACTTGCCTTCTATTAAATTAACATTAAAATTAGAGTGGATAAATTGGGAAATATGTTAAATTTAATATGTTAAATTTAACACAAAATTTTTTACTGTGTATAATATCCGTTCGTTACCTTTTCACCGGATATTTTTCTCAGTGTACAAATTTACGAATGAAGAATTTAGAAATCGAGCGGTGCGCTAAATTCCCTTATCTGATTATTTTGATAAAATTGTACTTCCCCCCACCCTCCCCGATCTGTGATAACCGATTGACGCCGTTGTCGTCGATGTCAAGTTCGCGGTGATGCAATCCCGAGTCCACGTGGACGATGACCGTGCTGCGGGCGGGGGTGGCAGTAGAATGGCGATAGTACAGTGACGGTGGTGGTAATAACAACGGTAAAACGTGTTGTGACGAACACAACCGTCGCTTTCGATCGGCGACTCGCGCGACACCGACTATAGGAAAACCACCCCTGCCCTCCCCCTCTCCTCCTCCCCCCGGGGGCGAAGCGGCGGATCAAGACTCACCCCCGTGTGTCAGTACGGCGCCGGTGGTTGTTGCTGTTGCACGAAGCGCTCTTTTATCCTCGCGGATGTTGTTCCCCCGTCGTACGATTCGATAGATCGCGCGCTCCCGAACGATTGATCTTCCTCCGACGGATTTTCAAGAAGCGTTCGAGGGCGACTCGCGGGAAAGAGGGAGGCATCGAAAGGCGATTACGAAAGGGCGACAGGAAATTTTCCGGACGATACATGAAACTACGAATGTAAGTGCATTTTTCGTCGGTAGACTATACACTCGGAAGACGTCAGACGTTGGAGCTCAAGTTCGATAAGCGATCTTTTTAATTATGAAAGTATCCTACGTGTGTGCTCTATTAGGGGATGATGAGTCTTTCCTTGCGTTCGAATGAGCGTTTTATTTTTACGAATAGCCGGTAATAATAGTGAGCGGAAAATATAATAACTCTTATTTTTATATCATTATGAGATCGCATGAGGGGATAATGAACCTGATATTATTTTCTCAACTCGTTTTCTATATTTATACTTATATTGAAGTTCGTTATATTAATTATAAGATTATATAAAAATATTTATGTAATAAAATTTATCGACTGATTATTATTAATTAATACTTTGTTATTAATACTTTATTATTCACATATGAGATTATTAAAAATATATGTTATATATATGCGTTTTACATTGCATGCGTTTGCAAAAAAAAATTGAAAAAAAGATGAAAAAGATCTTTTCTACGAGTTATCGTGAGTTTTTGTTAATAATCGCAGATCTTTAACATTTTTCGCAATTAAATTCCATCGCAGAAATAATTAAGAATAAATAAAAAGTGAGACTTGGAATAAATAAATAAAAAGTGAAGAGAACGATACGATATAAAACTATTGAAAGATTAAATTGTCATTTCAATCAAATTAATTTTAAGAAGAATAATTTTCTTGTAAGTTGTAAGCCTGCAATCTATCTTTTAATAACTTGTATAAAATATTTTATTACTATTTCTCTCGCTGTTCACTTTCACTTTCACTTTGTATAAAGTATATAAAATAAAATAACAAAACGTGATTTTTTTAAACATCACGCGTTTATATTAAAAGGAAAAAGATTTCATTTTTTATACAACAATTGATGCAACTGTTGCTTTCACACAGCACGATTTTAATTATATCTTCTGTCATAAAGAAGTTTCTTAAATTATTCTAAGATTGAATTGACGAAGTTTACTTGATAAAATTAATTAATTAATTTTTTCGTTATATTAGACTATATTTATTGCATTCTTATATTCTCTATATATTTATTTTATTACATTTATTACATACAAGCAATTCTTTTTGTATTCATTATTTATTATGTTATTTATATACACAAAACATAATAAATAATGATAAAAAGAAGTTACTTATATAATAAATATAATGGATAAAATAAATAGAGAATATAAAAATGTAATAAATATATATATGATTTAATATAACGAAAAAATCAATTAATTCAAATTTATAATATTTAAACAATTTTTTAAATAAAATCTTTAATCAGTTTATATCGATATTTGTATTTATATTTCATAAAAATTAAAATTTCCACGTAAATCAATTCTAAGGCGGTTCGAAGTAGCTTTCGCTTTAATTATGATAATAGCTAATTATCATCGTCGGCGAAACGAAGCTTGGCGAGGACTTGCAATCGAATCGAAAACAATGCGCGAAACGCCCGTAATTAGTTGATTATTGAATGCACGTGATTGCATAAATTTTTGCATTTCGAATTTGCTCGTTTACTGGAAAGATTCTCAAGAGATAAATCGCGATCTTGATTCTCGCAATAAATAGCAGTTTATACTGATATCTCTATCTCATCGTCACGTACCTTTTTTTTCCTCGTATCACAGAAAATTGTATATGTATATATCTTCAGCAATATTTATATATTTTTAGAATTGTCTTTTTATCGACAAGAAAATTTTATGCCGTTAATATTATAAAAAGCGATTATGTAATATTTTCCTCTTGCATGTGCAAATATTACATTATTTAGTAAATAACCTTCTAAAATTTTTTTTATTAAATATAAATAATTTATTTTTATTAAATATTTTAAATAACTTTCTAAAATTTTATTTTTATTAAATATAAATAATTAATATAAGAATAATATTATTGATTTACTACACAAATTATTTACTATAAAAATATAAAATTATAAATATTTATTTACTATAAATGAATAATATTATTCTCTTATTATTGACCAGGGATTAATATTCGAATAAATAAATTTAGCAGGTGGACGGATGGTGCTGGTGAAAAATCCATCTCCAACTCGCGGCCCGAGCCCCCAAAGAGAAAATGCGAGATGCGGAAGGTCAAAAGGACGAGGAGGAGGTCGGGGCTCGCGCGGGAACAGTCCCGGCAATCAAACTGGTTCGCGAGGAAGTAGTCCGGCAAAGAGTGGCGGTTCCGATTCCAAAAGGAAGGGGAAAAATGCGTTATTGCACTCGCAAGGCAACGAGTAAGTACATCTGCCTCTTAATCGCGCATCGAAAAAAATAAAAATAAAAATGTTACGAATCGATCTGAGTCGCATTACGTTTCTAGTTGTACAGGATATTTTTATTGTACTTTTTATCTGCAAAAATTTTTAATCTTATTAAAATTTCTGACATCAAGTGTCTGAGTTTTCTTGCATGTATTAATAATAAATTAATAAGAAAGGTTACAAATTTATTTTTTTAAAGATAATTTAATAAAATCATTTAAAATAAATTTTAAGACACTATATATTTAAGACACTATATTTTTTAATTATTATTCACTTCATAAATAATAATTATATATGTATACTTTGTTGAAAATAAGCTGTTTAAACAATTTTCAGAATAATATAAATTTTATCTGCAAGAAATATTTGAAAAATGTGTTTAAAATAATAAAAATTATTTATGAATATTAAATTCTTTCTAAAATAATCTGATACAATTTAGCTTAAAAATAAATTTTTGTTTCTTTAAAAATGATCTCTAAAAAATTTATTAATTGAAATTTTAATTTGACTGATAAACTCATGAGTGACATCATCACAAAAAGTTTATTATTATCATAAAGCTTAATAAGAAATATGTTCATTTGTTATCAAATTGTATCTTCAAAAACACATATCGATATTTTCCTGTTTCGTGGGAACAGACACGAAAGATAATATATCATTGAGAATTCTGCTAAAAATTACCGCGAAACAAATTTGCCTAATCGAAACAAGTGGCATAAAATGATTGACAAATCAATATTGTTAGAATGGAAGATTAACGATAATAATCAAATAATTTGGAAATTGACAATATAGTATATCTCTTTTAATGATTAGATAAAAAAATTATAAATAAATTATAAGTAAATCTATCGTAAATTTTTGTAAATTATGTAAAACATAAAATTATATTTATTTTAATATTATTTTATACGTGTTAAATATTTTTCACATACACACATATACTCTTATAAATTTTTATTACGCAAGATATAGAAATTATTATATGTATACACACGCTCAAGTATCTTTTCGTGCATTTTAGTGATAACGAAATGGAATAACGTATCAATGATTTGTCGTCAAGACGATAAACTTCGACGAAAAAAAAAACTTTGACTTCGATCGATATGACAAGTTAAAGTGTGACGTATATATATTATTTTCACGTACATATGTGAGGGAAAAATAAATTCAACTCAATTATCGCGGCATCGTGCTTTATCGCTTTGATTTGTGATGATAACATCGAAATGATGATTATGGTGGAATTGATAGATAACATAAAGATTGATATATTTTTGTCATATATAGAAATATCCATCAACTAAAATTTGCAATCAATGCTCACTATTTTATGTACGAGTGACATTCGTGTTAAAATCGCTTACTCACGTAAGATAAATCAACTGATGACATTAGAAAAATACGCCATTCTATATATGTCATTCAAGCTGAAAAAGCACAACTGTATTTTTTTAGCGTATGACAAATATACTTATAAATTTCTCTCTATACATGTAAAAAAAGGTACATTAAAAGATAATAACGTAAAATATAGATTCACTGTAACGTAATATTGCAAGATTTCAATCATAAAAAATTATAATTATATAATTAATATTTTAATAATTCATATAATCACATTATTATAAACATATAACTAAAAATATTATCAAACAATAGATGTATAGATTAAAAGAAATATAATAAATAATAGATGTATAGATTTAAAAAGTGATGTAATACTAAGATTTATACATTAAAATATTATATATTATTCATGAAAAAGAAACAGAGTTAATAGATAAAACAATAATAAATTTAAAATTATATAACCAATTTTTTCTCTTTCTGTTAATATATTAATATTCTAAAATATTTCTAGAATTTCGTTTGTAAAAAAAATTTCTATATTAAAATATAAAATTAAAATTACTTTTACATGTCACTTTGTAAGATTTTTGGACAAAATTATTTAATAAAAAATATATATATTTTTTGTGCTTAGTATGTACATGCAATATTATAATGGCGTAAAATTTCTTCACTGATGAAAAACACTCCAGATTTTTATAAATATTATTTTTTTAATTATACTGATAAATTATTTATCACACACATATTATGGTATATAACTTACTTTATTATTATTATTATTATTATTATTATTATTATTATTATTATTATTTTATTTTGTTTGTTTAAAAATGTATGCATTTCGATTTCAATATCGATTCAAGCGAAATTGCTCGATCGATTCGTTAAAAAATATTACAAGGAAGATTGGCCTAGCTAGAAATTGTTCGAAAGATCTGGGACAGAGATGACGACATACGATGCGACCATCAAGGTGGACAGTAACTAACGCGTTTGCAGTCTTTATTCAATTTTATGTGAAGAGAGATGCTTGTGTAAACATTGCCGCTGTGCATCGATACGAAAAACAATCTACACGCACACAGACACATGCAGACATTTGCACGTTTACGATATCTCACGCTTCAACATTGCTTATTGATTACGAGATAATGCGGTTTCCGAGGTCAATCAATATATAATATTATATTATTATTAAATATTATATTATTATGTTATAAAGTAATATTATAATTGTACGTACATTTGAGATATAAAACTATGCATTTTTTAACTATAATCATAATTATAGAAAAAAATTTTAAATTAAAAAAATTTTGTTCTAATTTAATTATACTCTTAATAAAAAACTTAAATATAATTATATTTTTAATATATGCAATTTAATACTTCTTATTAATATAAAATACTAAATATTGTAATATATATAAAGCAATCAAATAATATTAAGTTATTTAATTTAATTATTATTAAGATGAAATTATATATTATTAATATAATTTAATTTTAATTTTTTTTAAATATGTTTTAGTAAAGATGAAAGTATGTTTACATTATGTAAGAGAAAATAGAAGAGAAAGAAGAGGCGCAAAATAAGAAGATAGGGAATACAAAAATTAAAAAATAAATGAAAGAGTAAAAAAAACAGGAATGTTAGATATTTTATTGTGTATTGATTTGTTGCTTTTTTACTTTGTATTTGTCTTTAATTTATTTGATACTAAGTATATCTAGTTTTGTTCCGATTTATTTCACTTTATTTCATTTTATAATTTATGCTATTTTACTTCACTTGACTACACTTTAATTCTTTTCACTTTAGTTTTCAAGTTCTAAGTGGACATTTGCTGTTTATAAACCAGGCTGTGAAGTGTAAATACTAGATATGCAATAAATAATATAACCAGAAGTCCTAAGCCGAAAGGCAAAGTCTAGTAAACAAATAATAAATAAAATAATATGTAAGCGAAGATAGGGAAAATATTGTAGAAAAAAATCATATATCCGATTTTGCGATAGATTATAAAAAAAGTATCATGCAACAACAAATCTAAATATTTCATAAAATAATGTCACATAAACTAAACGATTTTCTATCGCAATAGCTTCTTGTTTAGTCGTAAATTTGCAATAGACACGCGATTGTATTTGAACAATAATTACGTGTCAATTTAATCTTAGGTGGTTTCATCGCAACTACATAAGCTCATAATATTATTTCCTTGTTTATTATCTGTCATGATATTGTTTTGCGCATTACATTAAAATCAAGACTATTTCAGTTGTAATATCATGTAATATCATTTCGAAAAAATATCGAATTAAAGAATTTTAAAATTAAAGAATTTTAGAATTAAAAAATTTTAAAATTAAGGACAGAAGATATATCTAAAGAATTATAATATTATATAGAAAATATTTTTTTTTAATATTTAAAATATTATATAGAAAATATTTTTATATTAAATATTTTTTAAATTATTATATGAAATATTATTATATGAAAGTTATTATATGAAAAAGCTTACATATAATAAAAAATTCCAGATTGTGTGTTATACTTGTTTCTCTTTGAATTTTAAAGCCTAAAAGACACATTTAAAAGCGTTCTTAATGACTCATCCTATAGGAGAAAGAAAAAAGGGATAAATGCACGAACGATATATCGAAATATTTACGCGTGTATTGTACATATATATAAGGTGGTCATTACGATCGAATGTGACTGAGAGGTCGTACAGCAAGGTCCCACAATCGATAAGCGACATCGAACTATACCATAAACATGCGTCTGTTTATTATGTTGTCTCCACGTGTATGTGTGTATATAATTAATTCCACGAGGGAAAGCCGAAGAATGAGAAGCTTCGGGGAGAATTGTGCGATTTTTATAGTTATTATCGACTCTCGTAAGAGTAGTAGTAAACTCCAGTAGTGTACAACACGACAATTATTATAAAACGATAAATGCAAGGCACTCGCACGTGACTCAAGCATATGTACATATAATATGCATATATAATAGAGAGGAGAACACTGTTTTGAAAATTGGATAACTCCTTAACAATATAAATTAAGTTGAATTAAATTTAAATTAAAAGATATACTATTTACAGATTTCGAAAGTTTCCAAATTTTACGGTGTAGGCAGCTTCTAATAATAAATTATCGTGTATCACGTTAAAGATGCAATTGCAAAAAAAGAGAAAGGATAAAGAAAGTCTTTTTAAAACGTAATTTTTTTGTATAATATGTTATTATTTTACTGTATTATTTAATAGAGGCAACGCTTTTTCTTGGAAATCGCTTTTAAATATGACTTATGATCGATATCTTCTTTTGCAAGTTCGTTTCAAGAAAACTAAATCATTTCCTTTTCTCTTGCATTGTACAGACATACAATGTAAAAAAAGAAAGAGTAGAATATAAAATTTTATAAAAAAAAATAATATTGGCTCTATTTATAATTTTACATTAAATATAGATATAAGAGAGATTCTTTTTTAATATAAATATTAAAATAATAAATATTAAATTTTAATGTTAAAGTATAATAAATTCTCTTCTTATGCTGTATCAAATATCTTATATAAATAAGTAAATTGACAAAAAGAAAATTAAAAAAATTTAAGAATTAAGATTAATGCAGATTATATGACATGGAAAAAAATTTTTTTATAGTATATAAATGTATATTAAATTTGCAACGATAAATGTTTATAAATGTTTGTAAAAAAATATTTTATCATGTGTAAAAGTATTTTGTCATGTGTATTATTATATTCTATAATATAAAACAATTCTTAAAAAAGTAGAAAATTTGTATAGTATTATTTGGTATAAATTATTCTCAGGAGAAAAATCACATTATATTAATGTAATTATTTTGAACTTTCTATCCAAGAGGGACTAAAACGACTCTTTATTCTAAGAAATGTGGAAAGAAAGAAAAACATTGGATGCACTCTCAATTATACCTCTTCAATTGCAATTGAAAGTACTTTGATAATCGTTGAAATCGTCGAAAGAATCGATATGTTACAACGTTACATTCAATATGTGTTTCAATATGGAAAAAGTAATTTCTATCCTCGAACGATACAAAATTCATATTCCCTCAGATATGAAATTTACAGAATATGCAGTGTTCTCAGCGAGATTCACAACTAATCGATCTAACGATTCGATATTTACCAACATTGATCCCGAATCACTAAAGAGGTTTCTCTCGGAGATTCCGCGATGTTTCAAAATGAGAAAGAAATCCAAATACACACACGCACACATATGTACGAGCCACTCGATACTCTTCGATCGGATCTCGTGAATTATAAGGGTTGACCGCGCGATTAGAGGTCAATCGAACTATTCTGTATTGGACGCTTGCCATCGCGCATTCATAGAACGCCGTTAATTTGCGGAATTAGATCGGCGATCACGTTTAATAATAAAATGCCAGTGGGAACGATACAATGATAACAATTGCACAACCCCTGTAACATTCTACCTACATTTATTAACTATAGAAGACTTGACGTCCAGGCAGGGAGATCCACAGGGTGATCTTTAATTATGTAGAGTTAACAGCGATGCACGACATATGTATTCAAAGATAATCACTCTTAATAAAATATCACCTACCTTTTTATAGCTCTAATAAGTAATAATTATTTTCCTCTTTACTTATCTCAGATAAAAATAAGATTTTTCTACCGTTTTATTAACTAAATAATGTTTAAATATATCGCGTTTATTAATCACATTATTATTTTTATATAATTTGCACTTATGAATTTATTATTTTATCAATATATAAATAAATCAATTTATCTAACAAAATAAAATTAATGTACGATGATACATAAATCGTGAAAATAATGTTGCTTTCAGGATCGGTAGCATCGAAAAATTGGTAGACGGCGATAAACGGGTAATCGCGACCAAACATCTACTTCCGGAAAATAATATAAATGTCGTCGTCAGGTATATGATTTATTTTAACATTATTCAAATTTTTTTCAAATAAATTTAAAATTATTATAACAATATCTATTTTTTTTCTTAGAGTTCGTCCGCTCTGTAATAAAGAGATCAAATCCGGTGATGCGATGGCCGTGCAATTTCCCGGTGATGGACAAATTTACGTAAGTATGAAAATTAAATTACCTTAAAAATCGTCTTTCGTCTTTTCAAATCAATATATATTCTTTCTTACATGTTTTTCTGTCAATAAAATATTTAAAATATTTCAAAATTGACAAAAATATATATTGCACGTATCTTTTTATTTATTTTGCAGTGCGATGTAGTTACGAGCAGCGGCGACAAAAAGCCAAAGGTATTTTCTTACAATGTCGTTTTCGAACCGAATGCCACGCAAGAGGACATTCTGCAATACTCCGGCATTAAAAATCTCATTGAAATGGCGGTGGAAGGCTTCAACTGCACTGCGTTTTGCTATGGACAAACCGGAAGTGGTAAAACGCATACCCTGACTGGACCTCCGAGACTTGTAAGCAAAACAAATCAATTTTCTTTCCAATTCTTCTCTTATCTATCTCGATTTTTTTTTAAATAATCACAAATTCTTTATTTGGATTCTAGCATAAATAACTCTCGTATAAACATAAATTTAAATATTGATTTAGAGAGTATAATTTATATAAAAATTAGTAGTAATTATTTATGTACAAATTAGAGTGTAATTATATATTTAATAAATAAAAAATTGGCGAATCTTTGGAAACAATAACATTATTTGAATGTTCCGAGAGAAATGGTCGAGGTTTCCAGCTACGCATAGGCTTTTTTAATAGCGTCGCAATACAATCGTCCATACATGCAGAAGACAATATACGATATGTAAAACATATGGTGACGTTAAAGATCGATAGCTACGTAGTCAGTCGGAAGGTTAAAGTTGATCGTCTTTCGTAGATAAGATAATGCGACGTGTTTAAGTCACACGTAATGTGTTGTTTCGCGCAACTAAACGCGGCATTGAAATTTCGATAGGTCAAGTATATGTCATAAAAGACAATGAAAAGATCAACGAAAGAACTTTTTAAAATAATTTTTTAAATTAATTTTTTAAAATAATCAATTTTTTAAAAATAATTAACATAATTAAAAATGATGAAAATATTTTGTCGATATTATTTTGCAATCTTATTGCGTAAAAATACTTTTTTACCTTGAAATAAAAAATACGGAATAGAAAGACTTAATTTGATTATCCATTTGCTTTGTTTAGCTACTAGAAAATGAGTAAATTCTAATAAAAAGTTTAATGATTATATGAAATATATTGCCACAAGAACAAATTTTTGACATATAATAATTTTTGAAATATAATATATAATTTAGCTTTTCTCTAATATAATAATTGTAAGCTAGAATCTATATTATTAATTCAATGTAATTTAAGTGAAATCATAGTTTGCAGAATTTAGCTAACAATTCTAAATCGTACGATAAATAAATCAGCTTTAATTTATTTATTTCACGCGTGTTTTTATCGATAAAGTGAATTTAATTATTTTTATAACAGTTTGAGAAAATGGATCCATACTCGGAGGATCATGGTCTGGTCTTCCGTTCCTTCGTCTACCTGTTTAAAGTCCTTCAAGAACACGAGAATTGCAATTTTGTGCTAAAGGCATCCTTCCTGGAAATTTATAACGAAAAGGTCTGTCGATCTTTTTAAAACGATGATAAAATTATTAAAAGATTTATAAAAAATATAATAAAATAAAATATAAGCACATTACTTTTTTTACATAAATTAAAGAAAGCAAATTTCCTTATAAATTTTTTCATAAGATGATTATAAAAATAAATATATAAATAAATTATAAATAGGTGATAGATCTTTTGAATCCTGGGACTGCAAGAAAACCTTTAGCGGTTCGGTGGAGCAAAAAAACACGCGGATTCTTCGTTGAGAATCTTTTCACAGTGGAATGTGAAGAACTTGACGATCTTTTAGCGGTTCTCGAAGAAGGTACAACAACTTTAAACAAATAAATTTAGGCAATTTGACTTAGGAAGAAGACCATAATATATTCCATTTCATAAATTTGCAAAATCATGATATTATAATCAATATTAATTAAACAGTTTTTATTGATATGTTTTTATTTATATAAAATCGTTGTTCTTCTTTTTTCAACAATTTGATTTTATAAAATTTGTCACTTACGTAAATTGAAACAAAAAGAATTGCAACTTGTATAATTTTTTAATGCTATTTAATATCTATTTCTATTTAATATCCTCTATAAAAACTCTCTATTAAAATTTTCTTTAACAAAATACATGAATTAAAAAGCTATAATATATTATTATGAATTTTATTCAACATTCTGTATTTTTTCTTCTTATTGTATTTGTCAATTATCCTTTTTTTATTGATCTCAATCAGAAAATTTTATTTATAGAATATTTTGATTCAATTTATGAAATGTTTATAGAAATATTTTTATAAATTTCTCAGTGAAATATCGGATTAATCGAATTAATGTTATTTTTTTTGCAGGAATGAGGAATAGATCTATCGGTACGCACAATATGAACGAATATTCCAGCAGGAGCCATTCGATTCTGACTATAACTATAATTTCTGAACAAGCAGTAAGTAAAAGTGATATAAATGTTTGAGGTCATTATATATATTTCCCATGAGACAATTATTAATAGTAATACTAGATATATCAAAGCTTAACATCAAATTAAAATATTTAAAAAATCGAACTTTTCGTACAAAAATTAATTTAAAACTAATTAATCCTCATATCATTTCTCGCAATTAATTTAATTTATTGAAGTAAGATGGAGGGAATGTGATATGTTTATCTCAAAATCAAGCGAAATTAATTTTCTTTTTCTGCTTCCATTATCCATTAATAGATTTCCGCTATTTCTGATCACGTAATCATTAATTTATAATGGACGCTAAAACGAGCATCTCTTATATTGATAGATGGAAAATGGCGTATTTATCTCCAAACAAGGTAAAATTAATTTCGTCGACCTTGCCGGAAGCGAGATGACGAAGAAAACTCAAAGCGAAGGCAAGACCTTAGAAGAGGCAAACAACATCAATAAAAGTCTCATGGTATTGGGTAAGTCAATATATCATCAATATATTATTATGTTTTTCGATGTCACGGAAAGAATTAAAGGATTCTTTTCTATGTGCGACAAAACTAATTCATAATTCGTAATTAATAATTAATTAAATTAAATTTAATTAAATTGAAATTTGCGAAATCCGACATTTCGCATGCGATAACGATATGTATAATACTTTCATGTATAATAAATGAGCTCAAGGAACTCGTGTCACATTTGTAGCGATTACTTTACATACTATGAATAACGATAATAATTAATTTATCGACATAAAATCGAATTAGATCTTGACTTTGAAATTGCAGTGAGATTGCGTCTATTATTTAGAATAGCTCAAGTAATCGATAGGTGCGCTATTAAGTTACTGACATGTGAAAAGACGTGTTCCGTGCCGCTTTCTGTCTAAGGAAAATAATCGATACACTTTCGCGATTACAGCCGCGAAATGAGGCAATAGGAATTTTTCACACAAACTATTTCTTAATAGTAGATACACAATTTTCGCAGCATCGCTCCTGAAAAGAGCGATATTTTTTTTGCGTGATTTCTACAAAAATATCTAATATTATCGATTTATGAGAACATGTATCCTTTTATATTTAATCACAGGATATTGCATCGCTTCCTTAAGTGACGGAAAACGAAAAGGGGGTCATATTCCTTATCGAGATAGCAAACTAACAAAGCTTTTGGCCGACAGCCTCGCCGGAAATGGAATCACATTAATGGTAAATAGGCAAAATAAATAAATTCTCTTTAACAATTTTCAAATTGATCTCGATCCATCTTAATCGATGGTATATTTCTAATAAATGTTATTTATTATTATTTATGTAATAAATATATATCGTTATTTAAATTATCATTATTACAAAAGTATTGTAAATCTCCTCCAAACAAATGAAAAAAATCGCGATAGATGAAATTGGATTAAAAATAAATCCAATAAAAAATTAAATACATTTTTGTAATAATTAAAAATTAACTTAATAAATTAATTTAATAAATTATTCTCTACTTTAAGAATATCAAAAATATTTTATGTTTAGATCGCCTGCGTTTCACCAGCCCGTTCAAATGCCAACGAGACATTAAACACCTTGAGATACGCCGCGAGAGCTAAAAAGATAGCCACGAAACCCATTATAGTGATGGTAAGATCACGTTTCGGCAAACAAATCTTCAAAGAAACATGAAATGTATTTCAATGAAATGTAAATGATATGGCTGTAACTTTCAGGATCCACGCGAAGCTCTGATTCTCAGCTTGAAACGAGAAGTTGGAGCACTTCAAACCGAGAACGAGCACTTAAAAATGACGCTTCATCTTAATAACGAGGCTCAAAATATGATCCGTTGCGAATCCAAAAGTACTAATAGAGTTCTTAATATCTTTTCGTTCCGTCAAACTATTATTTTCACAAATGTCAAACGCGAGAAATAATTAAAAATTAACATAATTCTATACAAAATTTTCAATTTTAATATAATAATAAAAATTTCATAAAAGTATAAGTAAAGAAACTTTGAAATCGATTTGGGGTTTATTCAGTTTCACGAAATAGATATATTTCTTAAAGCTTCTTTTTTTTATTTACTATTAGTTTATCATTGACTGACAAAATTTTGTTTACAGCCGAACGACGGATAACCATGACACCGCCACCGGTAGACTTCGACAAATTAGCTGAGATGGAGAGCTCGGAACTGAGCCAATTAATCCACGCATACATCACCGAGAACGAGGCGCTACGTCGCGAAAATGCAGAACTCTATGCCACGCGAGAACAGGTGATACGGGACCAGGAACTCGTTTGCCGAGAAAACGAGAGGCTACTCAGAAAACTGGAGGACGTAAACTTGTAAGTCTATTCATATTTGTCCGCATTTATTCGATTCGTATTTCGAATCCAGGCAAATTAGAAACAAATCATTGAAATACATTTGCTTCTCATTTCTACCAATTTTATGTTCAGATCAAGCTTCTGAAAAAGTCATTTAATTCTTTATATAGTTTTTATATAGTTATATTTGAAAATAATCATGAGCTCTTTTATAACGACATTTCCTATTTCATATTTTAAATATTTTGTAAAATTAACAATATAACGTTTAATTTAAATCTTTCGTACTCCGTACTTCGTATATTGCCAATAATTCACATTTTGTAGGTTTTTCTTTCCTTTTAGCACTTTGTTTCGCAACGAATCGCTTTCAAAGATTGTTTATATACATCTCTCTTATATTTCTATAGAGTATGCTGTCGATCGCCCATAATACCAGCGAGGCCGTCGTATTCGGCGGAATTATTGCGCGGCAACAATAACGAAGACATACCTGGTGCAACCAATGTTTGGACCAATCCGAACACTGCTCCCAGTCCGGTGTATTCCTTTTCGAAGGTATGATCCATACGCACCTGAAATATAATGACAATATTTATCAATAGAGAAGAGAAAAATGTATTATAATAATTTGAATATAATTAAATTAATTAATATAATATATTATATTTAATTTCAAGTACGTACTGGATTATTGTATTTCATTAAGATTAAAATAATAATGAAATCAGTAAGATAATGATCAAATTATTATCATTTAAAGAAAATGCACACGCATTCACTTTATTTTATTTCTCAATAAATTAAGATATATATGTGTGTATCTTATAATTTATATCTGATTATTCAAATATATTTTTATCGTAGCATACGATCAACAGTGGATTATATAGATCGGCCGGTAGTATGCCGGAGAAGGTGTTAAAGGAACTCGATAAACGAAGAATTGTCGGCAGTTACAATAACATTGCCGAAGCTTATAAGGACAAGAGCAGTCACCGCCGGCACAATTCATGGGATAACAATAATCGGCCTATGATAAGTCCGGAACAGAGAATCTCTCCAGTAGATATAAATCAGTAAGTAACTTTAAATCTTTTAATATATATATAATTTAATCACATTAAATTTCAAAAGAGTTTGTAGATAACCGTGATTAAATAATTTATTTGTATTTTTTTATCAGCATTATATTTTCATAATTTAATTAATATTTCTTTATTAATATTATTATTATTTTATTATTTTATTATTTATTTTATCATTTTATTATATATTATTTATTAGTTATTATATTATTTAATTATTATTTTTTGTTAATATTATTATATTATTTTATAATTATTTTATGTTATTATTATTTTGTTATATTATTATTATTTATATTATTTTATAATTATTTTATATTATTTTAGAGAATTCAATTATCGTTATATATTATTAGTCATTTTTAGTTTTTTTTATTTTTATGAAAAAAAAATTATAGATTGTAAAAATTATAAACATAATAGCGTTTCCAAAAAGTTTGTGTAACTGTTTTTATTTATACTTATTTTTGTTGTTATTCACTTATATATTGCGTTTTTTATATTTTATATATTATTTTAATTTATTTTTTGTGAATTATTCTTGAAAAAGTTTAAAAAGCATTTTCCAAAAAAATAATTTCTGTGAAAACGATTGCCTGAGTAATGTAAATGTATGTGAGGAATTTGAATGTATCAGAATGCATCAAACGTCGTACCTAAGCGATCATGTGTCTCCATATTAGCGACTAAAAATTTTAAAATAATGAAGGAAAAATATGAAGGAAAAATTTTATGTCCAATTGTTAATTTAAATCGCGGATGTTTCGCATTAAATTGATTGATGTATTAATTATGATATTTGAGCAATCTTAATATCAAAGACGCGAGAGAAAAAATTCTCCAAATAAATTTAAATTCAAAATTTAAAACTTATATATCATTTTCCATCTAATATATTTTTATATAATTTATTTTTATATAAAATTTATATAATTTTTATATATTAAATAAAATATATAATATTATAATATATTTTGTTTATTATATTTATATTTTTATATTAAATAAAATATACAATATTATTATATATTTTATTTTTAATATAAAAATATACATAATAATAAAAATATTCAATAGTATATTTGTACATGTAATTTCTATACAAAATTTGATTATATAAGAATTAAAATTTATGTGTCCTAGAATTTATATTTCTATAAATAATGTGGAGATGTTAGATCAATTTTAATTTGAAAGAGATATGACTGAATTATAAATTTTATTTCTATTTCTAATCAATTTCTCGCTTCTCAATCTCTCAGAGATTGGGAGACAAGAGTCCCTCATCTCTGATTTTAAGAGCAAGAGACACATTAATCGTTGTCTAAGACACCACGTTTGACGCCTGCCACTCGAAATCCCCGACCCCGAGCAAAACCGACTAAACTAACCAAAGACACGCGCGGTGATAGTCAAGGTCGAAGGACGACCTTGCGGCGCACCTCGACGGTTCCTGAGGAGAGTAAGCCTCCGGTGAAAATGGGCGAGCACCCCATCGCGGATGGCGTCGTCGCGATGCCCGTCGAGCAATCAAACAGCTCGCCCGATTCGATCCTGAGCGGTTCTCTCGACGTGGGTAGCACCTCCGCCCCCGACACCGCGGAATCGGTCGCCCCCACCGTCCCCTTCCCGCCGATATCGCGCTCACCTTCGTCCCCCGCGACGTCGGAGGCGGAAGTTCAGAACCGGAAGTCGCAGTCGCGGGCCAACAGCGGCAGGAGGGACGCCGAGGACAAGAGCAAGGACGAGCAGCGGGCGTTCGGGAGTCCGGTCTCCGTCGACGACGACGACGACGCGCGACTTTAGGAATCCGCGAATCTGAAAGTCGAGAAAAAAAATATGCGAGTGATCTCTTATTTTTCGAGGAAACGTTATCGAACGGAAGGAACTTTCCCATGCAGCGCAAACCCATACAGCACATTCCCTATAAGCACACAATATTCCTAGGATATTGTATAAATATTATTAACTGTTAATAATATTTATACAATATTTTAGGAATATTGTGTCTTATAGGATTGCAGCAATATTACAATATTGCTACAATGTCGCAGCAATATTATAATGTTGCTGCAATGTTCTGTGCTGTATGGGAAAATATTGCAGCGATATTATTAATATTGTAGCAACATTGCAATATTGCAGCAATATTATTAATATTGTTGTAACATTGCAATATTGCAACAATATTATTAATATTATTGTAACATTGCAGCAACATTGTAATATTGCCGCAATATTGCTATAATGTTCAGTGCTGTATGGGCTCCTTCTCCTTCGTCCTCTCGTATTCTAATGTCTTATTCTAATGTCTGCGAGACTCAAAATCTTTATTAATTAATCAATTATTGTACAATACACTTCTACACACGTATAAGTAGACGAATCTCTTTTCTTCTCAGTTTCTACCATCTTTGTCTCCAAACTTTGAAAGAGAGACAAATATTGTGTACAAAATAAGATAAATTAAATTTTAATTAATTAGATAAATTAAAGCTGTAAGAAGTGAATGAATTAAAGTGGATTGAAAGATAATTTTATGCACATAATTTTTGAAATTATCCTTATATATAAAAAAATAATTTTTCGTGTTTATTTTAGTATTTACCTGTTATATTGAATTTGTATTTCTTTAATATTTTTCAAATTTATTTCCGTATATATTATTTCTCTCCCTGCTTCTTATATATTATTATTTATATATTATTTATATATTATTTCTATTTTTTATATTATTTCTTATATATTATATATATATATATATATATATATATATATATATATATATATATATATATATATTATATATATATTATATATTATTTATATATTATTTCTATTATTTTTATATTATTTCTTATATATTATATATATATTATATTTATTTCTTATGTATAAATTCCTATTTAAATTTATTTCTTGAGCTTGTCATAATTTTTTAATTTCTTCAATACATAGAAAAAAAACGCATAGAGCAAGTCAAGTTATTTCTCTCAAAGGAAAGAAATACGTTCGTCACTTTACAATTGCATTTATTGCCACTTGAGCGATAAAACAATGACGCTAATTGTCGTGTAAAGTCGTGTTGATATTCCACGAACATGCTATCGATAAATATCTTAATATTAATTAAGAATACTCACACGTATCTGCGTTTCTCGTCTTCCTTCGCGATAATTCGATATACGTTTAAAACGTCCGACGAGTTTTCGACGACTGCGTCGTTTGAGCGACGCGCTCTGATTGGCTGCGCGGTCGTCAAGTCGCGTCGCGCTTGCGCGATAAGCTTCTCGCTGTGACGCGCGCTACGATTGGCGCTTGGACGCTGCCGCGCAAGCGCGCCACTTTCAAACCTCTACTTATGATATGTATTCTTCAAATCCATGGAAAGCGTTAAAAACACGACTAAAATGTATAAATTCACAGTTATATGATTATAATGACGTTCAAGTATCGCTTGCAATAATTTTTCCTCACAGAAATCATCATCGAAATGCAAAAATTTGAATTAAATAAATATTTATGTGTCGGTTACTTTTATGGGGAAAAAATCACGACTCGCTTAGTTGTATGTATATTCTGGGCATATGTAATTCCTATTTTTGTGAAAAATGTGTCATTGAGGCGGGACTTGCGTGATTCTTTGTCGACTCATTCCACTCTCTGATATAAGGAAAAATGAATCATAATAATTTATTAGTTCATTTTTAATTGAAGCATGTTGACGTATTCCTCGAGAGCGTTTGCTAATCTTGATTTCCGCTTTTTGGCTTTTACATTATATTTTCTAGAATAAATTTTAAATAAAAACAAAACTGATAAAATAAACATATCAGACATATATTCTCCTCATAGAATTTTTTTCTTTCGTCTTTTTTTCTTTTCCCTCGTTTAATTATACACTTAAATTACCATCTCGTTTGAAATGCAAAAAAAAAATGGATAAAGTTTTTCTACTGCAAGGAAAATAATGAACAATATTTTTTTTATAAATTTATGATTACATTAAAAATTAAAAATTTATTACGTGCAAAGGATTTAAAAGATTTTTCAATATTCGAATCATAGACATATAAAATAGATAGACGGACATTAGCTGCTGATATAGGCTAAAAGGAAGGGATAATCATGGTAAGCTATTATTAATCATCATAAAAATTGTTTCGAGTGTTACCTCGAAACATTTTCAAAATATTATCGAGAAGAATTATACCAAAGCGATTCCACGTAAGCCAATCAAAAATCAAAGAAAGTATCTGACGTCACGGGGACGCGACGGCAGCGCTCGTCAGGAATCCAGAGTACTCCATCTACAAATTCGACAAGTCTACGACCAAAATCTGACGTATCTCTCTCTACGAGCTCCCTCGTTCGTGACGCGTCCAATCACAGTCAATCAGATCGCGACAGCTCGAGGTTGGCGAGAAGCGCGAGCGCGAGATACACGCGTACCTCGTAATAATCCCGTGAACGGAAATCGGCCCGAGATCCGGACGATCGACGGCGAATGAGAGCGCGCGAGGGCGGAGGGGCAGATCGGACGTAGGGTGGCATCGGAGTGATAGAGACCGGGGATCTCATCATCCTACCCGACGAGGGAGACGGACAAAGACGGTCGTCTCCGAACGGACCCGAAGAAACGATCGCGGGCGGCGGAGGGGGCGGGGCGAAGGAGGGCGGAGTGGTGGGGAGGGGCGACAGTGAGCGAAGTTGGTCGGCGCGCGTCCGTCCGTAATTCCCGACGTCCACTAGACTTCTCGTGCTGATTGTATCGTCGTCGCCGTCGGTGTCGAGGGTACGGAGTCGTACAGCATTCGCGAGGTCGTCCGGAGGGCCGTGTGCGCGTGTGTCTGGGTGCGCGCGCGCGCGCGCGTGCGGTCGGGGAAAGAGCGAGAGAGAGAGAGAGAGAGGGAGAGAGAGATTGTGAGGTGAAGGGTGAGAGAGAGAAAGAGGGAGAGAGAGAGAGAGTGAGAGAGGAAAAGAGTGAGCATAATCAGGGGAAACAATCGACGGCACGTAATCCGTCACTGTCTCCGTGACTGTCCGTGAAGTCCTCCGATGTCTAGTGCTGAGGTGGTGGAGAGCTCCGTTGATCCCCCAGCCAAGAAGCGACGCGTTGGTGCTGCCAGCACGACGGGAGGAGCCGACGACGAGCCGAAAACGACGAACGTGGCGGAGATAGACATAGACATGGCGAAGAACGGGTCTACGAGCTCCAACTCCAGCTCGAATAGCAGCAGCGGGGGCGGGGTCGGTGGCGGCGGGGGCGGCGGTGGCTCCGACGGGTCCGCTTCCTCGAGCGGTGCCGGCCGGACGCCGACCGAGATCGACGAGGGCCTCTACTCGCGGCAGCTCTACGTCCTCGGGCACGACGCCATGCGTCGCATGGCGTCCTCGGACGTGCTCGTGTCCGGCCTCGGCGGCCTCGGCGTCGAGATCGCCAAGAACGTCATCCTCGGCGGCGTCAAGTCCGTCACGTTGCACGACCACCAAGCCATGCGCAGTCTGCAGGAGCTCGGCTCGCAGTTCTACCTCACCGAGGACGATCTGGGTGAGGGAATGAGATGGCGCGCGCGCCAATCAGTCGTACATGTCGTTTCGGAAACACGTGAGATGGAAGGATGGAAAAGGCGCGCGCGCGTTTTTATGGTCTGATACGCGGTCTCCAATTCTTTTTCGAGGAATTTTTATTTGGATTATTGGAAAGGAGACGAGCGAAAAAAACGCGCGCGCGCGCTTTCATGGTCTGAGTACATTGGCTGTGAAAAGTTTCAAATGTTTTTTTTTTAAGAAACTTTATGTAAATTGTAAAAATAATGAGAAAAGGAAAAATTATAACAAATTATGTAGAGTACAGTTAAAAAAACAGAGTTTACAATTGTATCGAAAATATTGTACAGGAACTTTTTTTTCTGATTGATACAAAAATAATCAAAATTCTCTTGTCGAATGAAATTGTTGAAGAAAAACCATTCGGAATGAAAGTTAGTAAATTCGAAAAAGAATAGATGTATACATATTTCAAAAAAAAAAAAAAATTCCAGAGATTAGCTTGTTTTAATTGTACGCTTCTATCTGGTTCACTTTCAAGATGGACTTCAATGAGATAATATCACAGGCTTTTGTATATTATATAATATATATAAAAGTGGATGATTTATGATAAATTTGACATAAATTAGACTTAAATTTGACATAAATTAAACTTAATATTAAGTATTTGAAGCACATGATGATATTTCTTACGCATGAAGAAAATGTATGAATAATAAGTTTTTTGAACAGTATTTTAAAATTGAAGTTCAATCTAGAAAGAAAAAAATAACAGTTCAAAGAAAAAAATTCTTTATTGCTACAATTTCAGTGAATTAAAAAATGTTGAGATATGCAAAATATAAGAAATTTTACAGATCTGCAAAAATCACACATTCACGACAATAATCATAATGAATATAAGATACATTTTTTTCATACATCTATTTAGCATTAAAAATTGAATTTCCCAATTGCTCCAAATTTCTAATTATAAGCAAGTGATTCATAAATAAATACAAATTAATAAGTTAATAAATTCAAAAGATGTAGCAATGAAAGGCTATTTTTAATGATTCAAAGTAAATCAAGAGTGTATTTTAGTATTTAAAAAATAAGAGGAAGAGGAAAAATTATAACAAATTATTTAGAGACGTATAGTTAAAGAAACAGAATTTACAATTTTATCTAAATAAATATTTCGATTTAATCTAAAATATTGTACATGAACTTTTTTTTCTGATTGATACAAAAATAATCAAAGTTCTCTTGTCGAATGAAATTTATGAGAATGATACCAGAAGCTTGGTTCTAGTCTTGATAATAAATCTGCGCAATCTGAAGGATAATCTCCAGGACGATAAGATTTAACTTGAGATAAGGCACACATTTATTACCATTGTTTAACAAATTTTAATTCTATTATACTATTTAATCAAAGCTTACCATTATCTTCACTAATTGCATTAAAAATGCCATAAAATGTACGTGCATTAGTGCAAGTTATCATGAAAAGATTGTCTTTCAAAATATTGCTTAAGCCATCTAATAAAATGTTTTTTGTTTTATTTGTCTCAATTAACAGATATCTGTGAAATGTATGATAAAAGAGATATTTTGAACATTATACATTAAATCCATCAAACAAAATCAATGACAGTTACATAAATAAATGCATTAAATAAGTGCATTAAATTAATATGAAACTATATTACTATAAAATATAGGACAAAACAAATTTGAATTTGAATTAAGAAATACCTAAGCCATGTACATATAATTTATAGACATTTATATAATTTATAATGTCATCAATTTTGAGATGAAAAATATTTATTAAGGAATATTCATAATCGAAGGTAAATTTATATCACTTATATATATTCATATATAAAAAATATATTTATATATAAATTACTAAAATTACTACTGCTACTATATTATATTTTGATATAATATTATATTTATGTATAATTTTATATTTATATAAATATTACTATATATATAAATATTTATTATATAAAAATATTATTACATGTATATAAATATTTGTATATAAAAATTACTACATATATTTATATAATATTATATACATTATTTATGTAATATTTATATAATATTACATTTTAATATATAATATTATATAATATAATATTTATATAATATTTTTATATTTATAAATTTATATTTAACTATAATCTAAGCTAATTTATTATAATTGTTCTAGTTTCCTCCAAGCTATTTATATAATATTATATACATTATTTATATAATATTTATATAATATTATATTTTAATATAATAAATAATATTTATATAATATTTTTATATTTATATTTATAAATTAACTATAATCTAAGCTAATTTATTATAATTGTTCTAGTTTCCTCCAAGCTAGAACAATGGCTGGAAGGAACAAAAGAATGGATGACGTTAAAATGAAACTTGTTCGACAGGTAAGAATCGCGCGGCCGCGTGTTGTCAGCGGCTGTCGGAGCTCAACAACTACGTGCCTACTCGCCACTACTCCGGTGACTTGACCGAGGCGTACCTCCAGCAATTCAAGATCGTGGTGCTGACGGAAACGTCGCTGGCCGAACAGCTGCGCATCTCACGGATCACCCGCGCCAATGGAATCGCCCTCATCATCGCCGACACTCGTGGTCTCTTCTCCCAGGTGTTCTGCGACTTCGGCGACACTTTCACGGTAGTGGACACGAATGGCGAGCCACCAGTGAGCGCGATGGTCGCCAGCATTTCCCGCGACAGCGAGGGCGTCGTCACTTGTCTCGATGACACCCGTCATGGGATGGAGGATGGTGACTACGTCACGTTCTCTGAGGTGCAGGGTATGATCGAACTGAACGGTTGCGAGCCGATCAAGATCAAGGTGTTGGGGCCGTACACGTTCAGCATCGGCGACACTTCCAGGTGAGACGTGTGAGCTTAGATGTAAATATGTTCGTTATTCCTTGCAAATTTATCATCACAATAATATTTCTAATAGTACTTGTTTCAATTTAACAAATACACGATCAGGATCTAATCAAACAAATGGAATAGGTTCTCCGAGTACGTGCGTGGTGGTATTGTAACCCAAGTCAAGATGCCCAAGACCTTGTGCTTCGCACCGTTGGACGTGGCCCTGAAGAAACCCGAGTTCCTCGTCACAGACTTTGGCAAATTTGATTATCCGGAACAACTGCATCTGGCCTTCTTGGCGCTGCATCAGTACAGGGACAATAAACGTGCGATGCCGCGATCATGGAATCAGGCAGATGCCGACGAGTTTATCGCCATCGCTGAAGAAGTTAAGAATAAATACGGTTTCGATACCGAGATCAATGGTGAGCTGTTGCGAACGTTCGCCAAGGTATCTGCCGGCAATTTAAACCCCATGAACGCCACGATCGGCGGTATCGTCGCTCAGGAAGTCATGAAAGCTTGCTCCGGTAAATTCCATCCCATATATCAATGGTTGTATTTTGACGCCATCGAGTGTCTACCCACCGATTGTTCGGAACTCACCGAGAAGGAATGCGCTCCCAGCGGGCACCGTTATGACTCTCAGGTACAGTACAAGGAGGGAATATATTTAATTAAAATCCTCTCTTCTCTCACATCCACATAAAGAGAATTTAAAGAAAATTAAGTGTTAGACAAGTTTGTAAACCAAAAAAGCATTAAATATTAATAAATAAATAAATAAATATAATATATATATATATATATATATATATATATACAGGATGTTTCAGACCACCCATTTAAAAACTAGAAAAGTAGTTATTTCAAAAAAGTAAAAATATTTTCTTTATAAATCGGGTGCGCTCTATCGAATGATGATATTTTTAATTTCTGGCTCCGGCTGGAAATAGGTGATTCAGACTGGAAGTACATTTTTTTTTAATGGAACGCCCTATTTTTCATTGCATATTCTTGTAGCTTACCTCGAGAGCTTTCCAAAACACTATAATAAATTATTTTTTCATGAAGTACTTTTCGAATTATGAGGCTTGAAATCATTTCTTAATTTTACATAAACTATAAAATATCTTGTAAAATATTCATTTTTCTTACCTTACCTTAATACTTTTATGTACAAAATAATAAGAGGAATCAATTGGTATAAAGAAAACACATAGTTGTGTCTAAGAAAAAATATCTAATTTGCAATTAACAATTCCATATTTTTTCTTAAAAACAACTGTAGGTTTTCTTTACACCAATTGATTCCTCTCATTATTTTGTACATAAAAGTATCAATGTAAGATAATCGAAAAATGAATATTTTACAAGATATTTTATGGTTTATGTAAAATTAAGAAATGATTTCAAGCCTCATAACTCGAAAAGTGCTTCATAGAAAAATAATTTATTATAGTGTTTTGGAAAGCTCTCGAGGTAAGCTACAAGAATATGCAATGAAAAATAGGGGATTACATTTTAAAAAATGTACTTCCGGTCTGAATCGCCTATTTCCGGCCGGAACCAGAAGTTGAAAATATCACCATTTGATACAGCGCACCCGATTTATAAAGAAAATGTTTTTACTTTTTTGAAATAACCACTTCTCTAATTTTTAAATGGGTGGTACGTGTGGTCTGAAACAATGTATAATAAAATTATATAATAAATTATATAATAATATATATATATATATATATATATATATATATATAAAATAAAATTTTAATTGCTCGATCATTATTAATTCCACTGTTTCTCTTTCAGGTGGCTGTTTTTGGCAAAAAATTCCAACGTAAGCTCGGCAACTTGAAATACTTTGTGGTTGGTGCCGGCGCGATCGGTTGCGAGTTGTTGAAAAATTTTGCGATGATCGGCGTGGGCGCGGAAAATGGTTGTGTCACGGTGACTGATATGGACCTGATCGAGAAGTCCAATTTGAATCGACAGTTTCTGTTCAGACCGTCGGATGTGCAGCAATCCAAGTCGTCGACCGCGGCCAGAGTCATAAGAGGCATGAACCCGAACATGAATGTGGTCGCGCATGAGAATCGGGTATGTCCGGAAACGGAGAAGATCTACAACGACGACTTCTTCGAGGTGCTGGATGGCGTGGCAAACGCGCTCGACAATGTAAACGCTCGCATTTACATGGATCGTCGTTGCGTGTACTATCGTAAACCCCTTCTCGAGTCCGGCACCCTCGGCACCAAGGGCAATACTCAAGTGGTTGTGCCGTTCTTGACCGAATCGTACAGCTCGTCGCAGGATCCTCCGGAGAAGAGCATTCCTATCTGCACCCTGAAGAACTTCCCCAACGCCATCGAGCACACTTTGCAATGGGCCCGCGATAGTTTCGAGGGGCTGTTTCGTCAATCGGCGGAGAACGCAGCTCAGTACATCTGCGATCCACAGTTCGTCGATCGGACGCTCAAGCTGCCCGGTGTGCAGCCTCTTGAAGTATTGGAGTCTGTTAAAACGGCTTTGGTGGACGAGAAACCGCACACCTTTGCCGATTGCGTGGCTTGGGCTCGTTGTCATTGGCAGGAGCAATATAGCAATCAAATCCGCCAGTTGCTGTTCAACTTCCCGCCTGATCAGGTGACCTCGAGCGGTCAGCCTTTCTGGTCCGGCCCGAAACGTTGCCCGGATCCGTTGGTGTTCGATGTCATCGATCCCTTACATATGGATTATATTGTCGCCGCTGCTAATCTCAAGGCCAAGGTTTACGGAATACCTATTAATCGCGATAGAGAGGAGATTGCCGAAATTCTCGCCACCGTCAAAGTACCGGAATTTACGCCTAAATCCGGCGTTAAGATCGCTGAAACGGACTCACAGGTAAAAAATAATATTTCGAATCATTCTTCAAACAGGTAAAATTTTAATTTTTTATACAAGTGTATTATTTAAAATTCTCGCAAATCTTTGAAATCTTGTGTAAGTAGTATATTGAAATGCAAGGTTAGCAAAAAACTTGTTTTTTTTTTATTTTAAACAAAAAACATTGTTTTTTTAGAACAATGTTTTTTGTTTTATTTGTGTTTTTAAGTAAAATAAAAAAACATGTTTTAAACAAAAAAAGCATGTTTTAAACAAGCAAAAAACACTTAATAGCTTTGATCTGTGTAAATATTTAAATTTTTCGCTAACGTTAAACTGTAAATAACGTTGCCAAAATTGACAACGCCATTAAAAATATAAATAATAAAATAAAAATGATAAGATGGGTATTATTTTAGCAGAATATTTATTTTTGGATATTAAATAACAATCAATACAATAAAGATTACTTAGAAGATATTGACTGACTTTACATTTTACATTTTAGCATTTTAGCATTTTAAATTAATTGTATATAACTCATAGCAAGTCAGTTTCTAAAAAAAAAGTTCTAGTTAATAATATTTAATATATAATACTTTGGTTCTTTTCCTATTTTCTTATTAAGTAACCTCGTGCTTAACTTTCAACATAAATTATAAATAAAAGAAAAATAGACAACCTCAATTCTTCTTTTGAAGAAGAATTGAGGTTTTCTATTTTTTAGAACTATTTTTTTAGAACTACTGACTTGCTATGAGTTATGTACTATTAATTTAAAATGCTAAAATGTAAAATGTAAAGTCAGTCAATATCTTCTAAGTAATCTTTATTGTATTGATTGTTATTTAATATCCAAAGATAAATATTCTGCTAAAATAATACCCATCTTATCATTTTTATTTTATTATTTATATTTTTATATCTATATGTTACATAAATATAGATAAAAAACTAAAACAAAAACTTTTTTGCAACATACACATCTATTAGTTTTTATTTGTTTTTGATTTTTTTTACAATTTCTTTTTCAAATAATCATATATTTTATTTGCGATATTTTAAACATTTCTAAACAGTAGTTTAAAACAGTTTAAATCAAAAATGTTTAAAACAATGTCCACTGTTTTAAATAACTTTTAATGAAACAGTTTTAAACACATTGTTTAAAACATGCCAACCCTGTTGAAATGAGAAATTTTTAATCGATATTGTACAGAATGAAATGGTAGGAGACTGAGAGATCGACTCTATTTGCAGGTGCAAGTGTCAAATGGCAGCGGTAACATCGATCACGAGCGACTGGCGCAATTGCAGGACGAATTGCCGAAAATTGAGGAACTAAACGGCCTGGCGATATATCCGCAGGATTTCGAGAAGGACGACGACACCAACTTTCATATAGACTTCATCGTCGCGTCATCAAATTTGCGCGCCACCAATTACAAAATTTCACCGGCCGATCGACACAAGAGCAAACTGATCGCCGGCAAAATTATCCCGGCAATTGCCACTACCACCTCAGTAGTGGCCGGTCTCGTTTGTCTGGAGCTGTACAAGCTAACGCGGGGCGTTCGCGACTTATCCCTATATAAGAATGGCTTCGTGAACCTGGCACTACCGTTCTTCGGTTTCAGCGAACCAATCGCTGCTCCTAAACTCAAGTACTACGACGTCGAGTGGACGCTGTGGGATCGCTTCGAGGTGAAGGGCGAACTGACGCTCAAGGAGTTCCTCGACTACTTCAAGGAGCGTCACAATCTCGAGGTGACTATGCTGTCGCAGGGTATCTGCATGCTGTATTCATTCTTCATGGCAAAGTCCAAATGTCAGGAGCGCATGGGACTACTCATGTCGGAGGTGGTGAAGAAAGTGTCGAAGAAGAAGCTGGAGCCGCACGTGCGCGCACTCGTGTTCGAGTTATGTTGCAACGACGAGGACGGGAACGACGTCGAGGTGCCGTACGTGCGTTACACTCTGCCCTGACTCGCCCGCTCAACCTCCGATCGCGCCAGATGATGTCTACTTAACTGAGACACTTAGCCGGCGTACATCTAGTGATTTCTACAAATTTCTATTTTACGACGATGTAATACAACACAGAGGAGACGTTACCGCTGCCGATCCTCGTCTATGAACATCTGTATGAGGCACTCTCTTTCTTTCTCTATATTTTTGTTTTTTTCTTCTTCTTTCTGCCGCGTCCGGCAAAACGTTTCTTAACCGCCAGCGCTTAGTAGTAGTAATTTCAAGTAGCAAACGCGTGCAGGGTCGAATTTTTTGGTTTGTTTTAATGAATAAGATTAGGGCAAGCTTTTTGACTCCGGGTTTTCTTGAGCAGTCGTTACAAACGTGCTACATTATAGTATCAGAGACGCAAAAAAATTGTTCTCATTCACATATTCAAAATAAGCATCGGAATGAGTGATCTATTTCTATATTTTTCTATAAAATATTTTAGTTGTAGGATGTCTTCTTTTAATTTGTGAAAAACAAAGCAAATAAAAAAAATAATGTAAAAGTTTATTTTTTTAATTAATTTTATCACAACTTATTAATTATATAATACATTATATAATAAATTATATAATACATATAAACCAACGGATAAATTGAATAAATTTAGGGTAGATCGTAAAATTATATTGCAAATTTCTCATTTATTTTGATATCCGCAAAAATAAAATCGATTCCTTATTTCTGATATAATTGATTATTATTTTGTGGAGGTTCTTCGGATTCGGTTTTCTAATTAACATTTATTTTTTCTTTGCTCTATATTTTATTTCAATCAGCTCACAACACACTATAAAGCGTCGAATATAGAAAAGAAGAAGAAAAAGAATAAGCGAAGCCGCATATTGATAACTGAAATTTTTACGAGGAAGAAAATACAGTTCAATTTGCGTAGGAAATCTTTAACGAGATGATTACTCTTTTCTAGTTCATTATTACACAGATACATACACACACACATACATACAAATACACATGTTATATTGTATAGAATCGGATGTAAATTTAACTATATAGGTAAAACGACAAAATATTCGAGAATCTTTAAACCGACATTATTAGCTCTCTTTAAACGCAATTTCATAGAGAAATGTGTGAATAATCAGTATCGAATTTTTTAGTGGACGCGGTACGCGATCTTGCCTTTTCTTTGGATTCCTTGTTAAAAAAATTGCTATTTTAATAGCAAGGGAACAATTACTTGATACACACCTTTTTTGTCTTTAATTTCCTTCTAATGTTCTCGCTAATCTCAGAATCAATATACGCGTGCAGTAAAAGTTTATATAATTATGTCGTTCATTTAATTTATCCGCTTCGCAACGTCTTTCTCGAATAATAATAATAATAATAATAATAATATTAATAATAATATAATAATAATAATAATGGATAAACTATTGGCTAAGGCTGGTTGTTGTTACGACGGATACACTGCATTTAAATTTATAAAAAGATGTCTTTGAAGGAAAGAGAAGCTTCTAAAAAAAAAAAGAAAAAAAAGGAAAATGAAAATAATAGAAAAATAAATTGCATACATTCTAGAACTCTAGACCAAGGGAGATAAACAAAAATGAAAAAAGGAAAAATATTTTGTTAATTTTAGGATATAATGCGGATATTTATTATGTATCATTTCTCTCGTCGATAGATAACAAATAGATGTGTTTGGATTTCAAGAAGTATGAAGTATAATAATGTGAAAATAAAATGGGAAATATCTCTGTGCGTTTTGTTTACAATGGTACCTTCAAATTAGTCTTTAAACTAATTTATTTTATTTTGCCCCGCAAATTTTGCATCGATAAATAAGCGCAATATCAAGAAACTAAATTAATTCTGAATGTAAATTTTTTTTTGAATATGTAAAAGAATTAAAATTATTATATATTATTTTTTCCATGTGATAAAAATTAATTTATCACATCTTATTATTCTTATTATGAATTAATATGATTATTTTCGTATATTTTAAAAAAATGTAAGAAAATATGTCTTAAAATCTCTTTAAATTTGGCCTGTAATCTTGATATCCTTTTCACCTTCATCCTCCACGTACCTTCTCACAGATATTAATAAATACTGTTATCGTAAATATTATCAGCAGACTAGGTTTTTCGTGCATGTGCGGCAATATAAATATATACGCGAAAAAAATTTGACATTCGATAACAAATAGGATCATTCATAAAAAAATAAAAAATTATATAAATATATATATTTGTTTTCTTAACTTTTAATATAAATATCGAATACGCATTATGCAAAATAATATTTAATACATATATATTAATCATTAAAAATTCGAAAACTCACGTGCCTTTAAAGATATTATGACGTCATGATATATTATATATAGGTTAATTCATAAATTATTTATCTAAAAATATAAAACATTACAAAATTAAATTAATTAATATTTAGAAGAAATATTTTCCATTATATATTTATTTATTATTAAACATCAAAATGATATTTCCAACATAAAATGATGCAACAACGTTTCATTAAAATCGCGTTAAATTTAGTTTATCTAAATTTTTTGTATTTCTTTTTTGAAACACGAATATTTTAGGATATTTTTTATTATCGTGTTTACACACACATGCATCCTCTGGCATGAATGATATCTATAAATACTCTTTCATTTTTTAATCATAAATTATTAATATATCGAGATGTCAGGAATTAATGGCAAGTATTCTGTTGAAGTCTTGATGTTTCTCAAAATTATTCTTTTATTTTAAATTGTTTTTATATTATTATATATTATAATAATTCTATCGCAAATATAATATATTTTTTATAATAATTTTAGAATTTCTCTCTTTCATTTGGAATAAAAAAAAATAAATAAAAAATTACTCCATTTGATATAAGAGAGTGTAATTTAAAAATACACCTCTTATAAAATAAACATATATATATAATGTATATTTCGATGTACATAGGAAATCGAAGTACATAGGAAATCTTTAGAAATAGATTTATCATAGATTTATCATATATATATATTGACGTCTACGTTTATTGGGTGTCCGTTTATGGCCAGCCAATGAAACGTACGGCACTTTACGCGGTAATGCAACCTAATCTAACCTTTTCACGGACGAATCGCAAGAGAAACGATAGTGGTATGTGTGTGGATCGTGATATGTGGATCGAGGCCGTTTTTTTTTTGAGGTTATCACGCGCAACGCTTGTCACCTGCAATAAGCGTTGGAGGAATCGTCAAGTATTACATGATGGGAGCGAAACACCTAATTTCCGTTTGCTCCCTGATTTTCGTTTTCTATCTCTCAGTTGTTTCCTGCGAAATCGAGCCTCGTTATGATGAGAAACTTGAACTGGCCGCGACGTCGACAGTGAGTTATCCCCATAATCTTTCAAATCCTTTTGGCTGTAATTTATTAAAAAAAAAACTTTGTTCTTGAAAAATTTTATTAAACTCAAAGGAAAACATTAGAGATCGATTTTTGGTGCGTTTAATTCTTCTGGCTGAATTTTAAAGAAAACGTTAAAAGAGAGCTCTTGAAATCTACATTCTTCTAATGCTTTGAAAAATTCTTCAGAAAAACTTAATTTTTGAAAAGAAATTCTATTAAATCAAAGGAAAACATTAGAGAATAATTTTGGTGCGTTTAATTCTTGCTGAATTTTAAGGAAAACGTTCAAAAGAGATTCCCAAGAGTGCTCTTAAAACCTAAATCTTTGTAACGCTTTAAAAAAATTTCTCAAGAAAAAACACCTTAACATATAAGTATTTCAATTGTAAAGAAAACTCTTTGTAAAAAAATCCAAATCCTTATTATAACTCAAATCCAACTCCTTATTGTAACTTGTAAAATTTTTTAGAAATTGCCAGAGTTTGTGTCTGAGAAGCCGCAGGATAGATTAGGCTTTTTGCATGCCTTCGTAGCATCTTTGTCGGTGATTGTGGTGTCAGAGTTAGGTGACAAAACATTCTTCATTGCTGCTATAATGGCAATGAAACATCCAAGATTGACTGTGTTCGCTGGAGCGATAAGTGCCCTTGCACTAATGACTATTCTGTCAGGTATCATATACATTAACTATATTAATAGGAGTTAGTTGATAATTTTATGGAGATTATTTTTTAATATAATCTAAAGTGCTCTACTACATATAAATTTTTAAAAAATTTAATCTCTATAATGTCTACAAAAATATAATCTCTATTATTTATAATAATATAATAATAATATAAATTATATATATAAATATTATATATAATATATATAAATTAATATATAATATATAATAATATATAATATATAATAATATATAATATATAATAATATATAATATATAATATATAATATATAATATATAATATATAAATTATATAATATAAATATATTATATATATTTATAATAATAATATTATATTCTCTATTATTATAATAATAATAATATTATATAACTTACTTGTACTCTAAATAGATCTCTCTGAATAGATGTTGGTCAAAGATATAATTGTAGTATTCTTGCACAGAGAACTTCGAGCTATTATTTATTTTCAGTGGTGTTTGGATATGCAGCTACTATAATTCCCCGCGCATATACATATTACATTTCCACTTTTCTCTTTGCTGTATTTGGATTAAAAATGTTACGAGACGGATATTACATGTCGCCATCAGAAGCGCAGGAAGAGTTGGAAGAAGTTCAGTCTGACCTGAGGAAAAGAGACGACGAGGTAAACTTGTGTGAACTTCTATCATTGTGGACCACAATGATAGAACATCTTGTTTGTAAATCTGTAAACAATGTTTTAAGTATATAAGAATACACAGAATCGTTTGCAAAAGATTAATCTTGAAATAATCTTGAAATGTCATCATTTTCAGTACGAAAAGGAGACGGCGAGTACTTTGGTTCAGGATCCCGAGACGGGAGTAATACGAAAAACCACTAAAACCAGCGCGTTCATGCTGCTATCCAGGATATTCCTCCAAGCATTCACCCTTACCTTTCTCGCGGAATGGGGCGATCGTTCTCAGTTGACAACCATAATCCTCGCGGCGAGAGAGGTACATTGCAGCGATTTTACTGTAACATCTAGCGTCTTTTAATTAATTTTTAATTACGATGATACCATTTTTTCAGGATGTTTACGGAGTTATATTGGGTGGAGTATTAGGTCATTCGTTTTGTACTGGCTTAGCGGTATTAGGGGGACGTATAATAGCTCAAAGGATATCAGTAAGAACAGGTAATATATATTAAAAATACATATTAGAGAGAGAAGATTATGTACATTTTGCTACAATGTTCTTGATATTTTTAGTAACCATTATTGGTGGATTAGTATTCTTACTGTTTGCCGTAACGGCGCTCTTCATCAATCCCGTGGAAGATGGTTGAAGAGAGCTTCCTCAACTTACTCCAGAGACTTCTACCAGTATTTATTTTGTGAACATTGTACATCGTGTATATTGTATAAGAGCATATTGTATATTTGTGTACAGTGTGATACTATACTCATTTTTACAGAATGAGATTAATTAGGAATTGGCCCAATATCGGCTCAGAAAACTGTTTTTAATAAATGTGATAATAATACACGTACATATATATAAATGTTTGTGAATATCGAATGGGAATGTTTAGTTAAACATTACATATTAAAGCATAGGCAAACATATACAAATCTTGCATCAATTGCAAGAATGATCGAAATATAAAATTAGCAAATATTATTATTATTAAAATAATGTGTTCTATAGAGAATAATTTTATCGAATCTTAATATAACAATAATTGGATAATATCAATGCGAGACAGTCAGAGCATGAAAATTTTGGTAGCTCTAATGACATTTTAAATTTGAGTATTTAATTTGTCAAGTTATTATGTAATATATGAAATATCTAATATAAAATATAGAAACTTCGTAAATATGAGGTACATTATTCACTAGCAGTTCATGCTGATGAAGTGTTTATTTATATATACTATTTGTAAGATATTAAAGATAATTATCTTTTTATCATGTAAAGATAAACTGATGTAATGTAAATAATAATAATACAAAATAATATTGTACAAATGAGACTTAATAATGAAATAGAATGCAATAGGAAGAATGTTCATTTTTTAATGAAACACATAGAAAATGTAGAATTTGTAAATAATCAACAATGCGCGAAATATTAATTAAAACTGATTAAATGAGAAATTAGAGAAATCTATTTTAATTGTATACAGAGAGAAAATTATAAGAAACAGCAACTTATACTGAAATAAGTATTACAAAATAAAGAGATATAAATACTAAATTATTCTTTATGAACATCATAGGGTAATGTATAAGTTTTCTAGTGTTTCCACAAATTTATAATGTAATTTAGAAAATCGCAAAAGTTTTGAAAATATCAATAAAAATATGTTCCTCTTAAAGTTAATTTTCGAAATCTAACATTTCATATGTAAAATAATACAGATCTCATACGGAATATTAAAAGCATATGAGAAAAAAATTAAACCATTTAAGAGTTCGTGTCCATACATGAATTTTTTATTGTTATGAGACACATTTTATAGTTTTGTTTTGAATATTATTTTTATTAGTGCATGTATATACATGTTCTATTTACACTACAGAATATAAGTCTTCGGAAAAAGCAGTAATTTTCAAATATAGCAATTTCGAGTCGTATACTCGTAAGATATTCAGATAGTAAAGCACATTCTAATTTTTTTTATGTTACTAGCTACGTTCTCTTTTGTTTTACTTTTCGGGATTGATAATAGAAATGCTGGGTACATTTTTCATCGTTGAGCCATAAAAGTCTTGTAACTTAAAAATTTTTTAGCCACAAGTATATCTATCATGATAATTTAATACAATGAAAAGTGATTGGATTAACATTAATAATCTTTAACGTTAATAATCATTTTCATATGCGTATGTGCACTTTTTATTATTACGACTATTTTGTGTAGTATAATAATTAATGTATATAATTTGTATAATATTTGTATGATAATTTGTATTGTTAAACTTGATTAAAATAAATAAAATAAATAATTTAATTTATCGTAAGTTAATTCGTAATGGACGATTAATTCATGTAAAATTGTATTGTCAGTAAATACGTATGTATTCCGTTAACTTGTGAGATTTATTCATAAGTAAGTGATATTATTAAAACTCGAGACACTTTTTTTAGAAAACTTATATCGATAATGAAACTCGTAGTCAAATATTCAATCTGGATATTTTTATCTCTAAAGACTGACGATCCTAATTTTTCTAACTTTTGGTTTTTTTTTTAGTTATGAGCTTTTTATGGCTCAACGTCATCTTATTACATCGAGTGATGCTATCTCTATAAATACTGAGAGGGATATGATAAAGTTTTGCGTCTCAAATAAGACATGTCACTGTTGCTTTTACGAAACCTGTTTTTTTAAATTTCTTTGTTTTAATGCATTTTTCCCAGATAAATCTGAATAATATAAAGTCTCCGAATAATAAAGTTTCGAAGATGTTTAATGACATATTGTCTGAAAACTTTTTTCTTTTTACTAGAATGGAAGGTTTCGCAAAAATAACTCATAATAATCATGAATCTGATTTTTTGAGAAAAAAAAGAAACGAATTTATTTAGAGCACAATGCAAATCCTTAATTAAACGAGATGAAACAAAATCAGACTGATCGTGATACGAAATGACACTCGCGGAATCTTGCAAACTTCGTATATATATGTATATATATGTACTTGCACCGGACACACCGGATTATAATCGAGATCTTACGTAAATAGTAACATTATTATCAACTATACATAACTGGTGAGAAAGAAAGACGAAACATACATCTTTAACACGCACGCAACATTATCATTACATTTGTGGAAAACGTAACATAAGACGCTGGATCATTACGATATATAATGTTCGATGTAGCACATATATCTAACGGCGCAATTATATTATCGTTTTTTTTCTACGTTTGCACGAATCTGCTAACGACAAATTAATGAATGAGTGACATTAATTCACCTATAGTAAGTAATCAGACTGTCTCATACGAAAAAAAGAGAAACATTTATACATAAAACAATTCGCTTCGATTGAAAAAATTCAGCGGTGGAAAATACGGTGGAATCGAGTGAGACGCGAATAAAGATTTCAGACAAATATTTCTCGTCTTACATATGCATATGTATAAATATATATATATATATATATATATATATATATATATATGTATATATATGTATCATGTCCCTTACCTAATTAATATACTTTATGCACGAGCGTTCAAGGTGGATTCGACTGGGAAGAGGTCATTCTACATTGTGCTTCGAGGGCTCGGAGTTTCTCAAGCCTGTACATTGGGTCCATCATGTCTTTCTCGTCGGAAACCGCTGCCAGAGACTCGGTGGTTTCTATATTATTTAATCCATGTTAGATTCTCAAAGATTTGAAAAAGAATTCTGTTCTTTATATACACACACACACACACATATATATATATATCTTTATATAAATATATATATAAAGGTATATATATATATATATATATATATATCTTTATATAAATATATATATATAAATATATAAAAATATATATAATATATAATATATATTATATATATAAAGATTATATATATAAGATTATATATATATATTATATATATAAAGATTTATATATATTTATATATTTTTATGTATATTACACCTCTATTTTATAAATTTTTATTTATATATCGAATTGGTAAGTGTAACAATGAATGAACTATTTTATTTTCAATTGTTTTATAATCTTAAAATTAACTAACATTTACTTACCTGTAGAATATTGATTATTAGCTTGCGACAGAATGTCCTGACTTTTTCGCGCTTGATCAATCTCTCTTAATCCCTGTTCTATGAAATCTTGGAAAAACTGATGAGACTTGACCAGAAATGGTTGTACATCAGCTTCAGGGTATTGAAGTTTGAAATCGTACAGTTGTACTAAGCCCTATAAAAGAAAAGAATCAAACCCACTGCTTAAAAAACATATATTATATTGAATTGTAAAAACATTGTTAAAAGCTTGAAAGGAAATATATGTGTGGAAGAAGTACACATTAACTATTTTAAATTAAGATAATAGAAATCTAAAATTAATATTAATAATATTAATTTAGGCTTCTATTGTCTTAATTTAAAACAGTTAATGTGTACTTCCTTCCACACATATATTCCTTTCAAGCTTTTCCTTAATATTTTATAATTCTGACAATTGAAATTTATGCTATACAGAGATTATTTGGTTATCATGAAAAAATTAAGAATTTGAAATTATAAGAAATTATTATTATACTAAAAGAAATTTCTCTTTATATGTGCATACATACTTCCTGCATGTGCTCTTTTGATCCGATTTTCTTAAATATTTCTGCCAATTGTTGACGTGTAGACTTGGACAGGTGTTTCTGCGTCCTCGTTACATTATTCGATTTGGGCATCACCTTCGTGGCATTAATCTCATCCGGTTTAAGGCTCTGTTTAAGGCAAACGTTGCTAATTAATTTCCGTTATCTATTATCTGATATCTATATGTAATAAATAATCCAACGTTAATGATATAACTAATGTAATACAATGTTATCTGTTTTTTTTTATAAAATAAAACATAAAAAGCCATGTACATGTAAAAAGCAAAACTAACCGCGATTAATCTTATTAAGTAAGCATGTAACTCGGATTCGTTAGTGTTGTTTATCAACGTCAAGTGATTAAGTATCGAGCTGCCTTTTACTCTGGTCATACTGTGAAGAACTGTCTTGACTGTCCGTAACGGAGTATCGGACTTTCGTTTTTTCCACCATGTAGTAGGATAATCCTGTATAAAATTAATATAATTAAAATTATTATAATTAATAATTACACGTATTATAATTATACATATATATAATCAATCTTTAGGAATTTGTTATAAACACAAGTTATATCAAGAATAACATTAATAATAAAAATAATATAATAATAAAATTATTCAAATAATTATTTTATGAATTACAATCTTATTTATCTTAATGATCAAATATTACAGATAAGAAGTCATATTACCTTAAGGAAATGATGTACTTCCAAAAGTATCGTATCATAATTCAAATCAGCGGCCCAATTTGACATGGTTTTCACTATTTTCCATAAACATTTCATTACTAGCTCCTCGTATTTTAAGGGAACATTCGATTCGGCGCAAGAATGAAGCAACTTGATCAATACACTGGAAAAGAGCACAATAAATAGAATACAAAAAAATTAAGATAAAGGTTTTAGAAATTCAAATTTTTCTTACCATATGATAGTAGTGTGATTGGAATTGTCAATAATTTTCACCATGATGTTATTAATCACCCTGTAATAGGCACTAGACTGGTTTAAATGTTCCAGTTTATTCTCCGCCAGCAAGCTTATCATTTGATCTACCAATTCTTTTAAGTGAATAAATGGTACATTTTTTCCAAGAAATCCAGTATCATAAAACTGAAGGAAAAACCTTATTAAAATTTATTCGTCGCTTATTCACGTTATTACGTTTATCAAGATCTCTAATTCACAAACATGCTTCTAAAATCTTATTAATATATTTTATAAATTTTATTAAAAGCTTGCATAAAATAAGTTTACTTTATTTTTTGATTAAACAAATTTTTGATTTATTAAAATTTTTTATCAACATCTTATAATGAAATATTTTATATACATACAGTGAGTTTAACTTTTTAAAATGTATTATATTACAATCGCTAGTTAAAGTACATAATTTACAAAATAATGTACATTTGAAGCAATAGCACTTACCACGAGTATAATAAGGAATGTATTTCTGAAACCTCTCGATACATCCGCATTTTCCTGACGTAACGGATACGTCTGTAATAACTTTAGTTGCATGTTTATCGATCCAATGAATTTATCTTCCTTGCATTGCAAGCTAACTGCTTGATGAGATTTTAACAACTGTGATGTAGAAATAAAATCACATAAATATTACAAATGTCTATATATAATAATTTAGGAAAAAAAGCTTTAAAATTTTTTAAAAATTTTTTATCTTATAAATAAGACTAATTTCTTTCAATTCATGGTCAAGAGACACAAGTATTAGCCTAACAATTCTGATTATGTTTCTGCAAAATAGATTTTGAAAAAATTATGCTGCGAAAACTACATTTTCTAAAAATTTCTAAATTTTTTAAAAATATATATATTAAAGACAGTAGATACAAACATTTTCAATTGCATTCATAGATTGTATCGCAGTGGGCAAGTCCATACTGGCCATAGATAAGATGTTACGCTCTAGTGTATCATCCTTGCTACTAGTAGTAGCAGGTGATACAACGTGAGACGACGATTTCGATACTAACATTTTCGGTGGTGAAATCGGTATCATCCTAAAAAATTTAATATAGAAAATTATTAATTTTTAATAAACAATTCAACATTTTTAGATATATAATTTGTAACATATATATTTTATCATGCAATATAATAATTTATAGATAATATTAATTACTTTATTTGTTATATATTCAAAGCCAATATTAATTAACCAATATTAATCAATATTAATATCCTATTATACTTAGTTTATATTATACTAGTTTAAGTATTAAGATATGATAAAATAATAAATTATTTAATTAAATAAACAAATAATGTAATAATAGAGAATTGTAATAAACATCTATTAATCTACTAATTTTCTCATTAAGTTTTAGCTTACTGTATCTTGGGCGGATTCAACATATTCACTGGAGGCTCGTTCAGATCTGATAAACTTGGTTCTGCAAGTATCGGATTACGACATTTTACTGGACCTTCGATCTTCTGCAGAAATTCCATATCTAGTCCAAACGGACCTGAGGGAATCTTTAGTTGAGTCGAAGTAGGAGAATTTCTGGAAAAAAACAAAAACATTCTATATCAATAGAGCAATAAAATTTGAAATTTGAAGAAAATAATGCATACAAAAAAATCACAATTCTAATATTATAATTACTAGGAAATATGTATAACTATACTCATTATTTTACTGCTATCTATATCTCTAATTACCACCGATACACAAGTGTCACTACTAATAATGTTTTACATTTTAAAGAATTCTGAGATAAAAAGTATTTAAATATATATTTAGATACATTTAAATATGTTTTAAAATATATCATATGTATATATATCTATCTGTGTGTGTGTGTGTGTATACAAGAATCTCAAATAAAGTTTTTATATAATTGTTATATAAAAACTTTTGTTTGTATTATAAAGTTTATTTTTATATGCTTCTCTCTCTACATATAAAAATTAAAGTTTAATAACAATTTTTCTAAAATTCAACACATTGTGCAATATTGTGTAACATTAATCCTTTATTTCAGGTACTTTCCTACATTTTCTTCTACTTTTAATATTTTCTTCTATTTTGTAGTTTTAAAACAAAACAGATGCACATTCCATTTGAAGGGAAAGAAAAAAAGGAAAGAGGAGAGAGAAAATTAAAAAGAAACAAAATAAAACATAAAGAGTGCAATTAAAATGAATCAACAAATAATACTTTAATGATTAATTCAAACAGAATATACGATGAAATTTCATAGTATTCCCCAATACCATGTTATTAGAGCATGTCGCGCACACAGACATAATTGCATAACGATTAAAAAAAAATGTAACAAACGTTTTTGGATTGTTTTCGTCAGTTGCGTAATCGTTGATAATTTCTTGTTCCAATTTTGAAGACGATACAGATTGTACGACCACAGGAGGCTCTTGCTCATCCTCATTATTATCAGTAGTGCTCGTAACACATGTCCTGTGAAAGGCATGTTAGAAGCGAAGCACATGCAAATGAGAGTAACTTAAAAATGATATTCTGCACGAAAATAATAATAACTGTTTAACGCAGAATAATTCTATGATGAGATGATGGTTTTTTCAATTTTATTTTTTTTAGTAAGATTTAAAATAAAAAATCATATATATATAAATTTGATTTCAAATAATTATAATTTAATAAAATTATTATTTACATTATTATTTAAATAATTCATATTAAAGATGCATATGTGTTGTATATAATATATAATTGTTTTCATAATAATAATAAATATGTCATTACATTATTGATAATTAGTATTTAAACAATTTCTAGATTTCAAATATCTCTATATAGTGTGTATTTTTTATTTTCTTCTATTTTATGAAAACTTATATGAAAGATTATAAATTTATTATCAAATCTTTCATTCTAATGAATGAATTTCTGATTTTGAATTATTAATTTAAGTTTTTAAACACTATACAATAGAGACTTTTTTGAAAATTTATATATTATTAAATCTAACAGATATTGTATTGCAATTATTAGAACAATTTTTCATTATTTTCTGTTAATGTAATCATTTTTCTCTATTAAAACATATTAGATTTATGATAAATATTAAAATTATTCTTTTTAATTAGACTTTGATATACTTTGCTTTGCAAATGAAGTATAACAAGTGAAAGAATAACAATCGCAAAAATTAAAAAAATATATAGGAAAATGCGAAACATGCGACTAAATAAGAACAGAATTCTTCTCTTCTCTTTAAATAATAAATATATCAGCAGTAATTTTGTAATATCGTGTACAAGAAAAAACACTCACAGCTCTGGTACTGGCTCAATTGACTCGGGAATTTCTTCCTGTTCCTCTTCATAGTCCGCTTCCACATCGTCTGTCGGCGGACTGGAAGCCGCGACCGTGGGCGTAGAGAGTCTCAAAGAGGACGCGGACTTTGTAGGCCGATTCTTCGCCGCCCTCTTGATCCGTTCGTCTAGCAGAGACCTGTCTTTCTCTGATATCTACATAAAACAACAATAATTTATTTATATGCTTCTCTCCTTCTAAATTAAATTGTTGATTAATTAAATTCAATTGCATATACCTGGCCGATGAGCTTGAATACACGCTCTCCTTGTAGGAAATAGGCCTGGACAATGCAATTTAACGCGGCATTGCGTACGGAATTGTCGCGATCCGCTATCTGCTTCGCGACTTCCTTCAACGCCGCAGATGGACTAGGTTGACAGACAGAAACTCCGTAATTCTCAATTAGCGAGCCTAATTGATCCAGGCATTCTGCAAGACAACCGCAACACGTTCTTAACTGACGTATCAATTTTGTAAATATCTTAATGAAAACCTGAAATTTTAACCTGTTCGTTGTCGTGCATTCTTTGATTTCAAACCCTCCATCACGTATGAGAATAACTTGCTCACGGGATATACTAGAGCCATTTGTTTAAATAGAGCTCGCACGCCATTACGTACAGCATCCTTTGGATCGCCTATCTGTTGATGGATGACAAATATAATGAACTTACATGTTGCGTATCTAATAATATATACAAATGTGAAAAAACGTTATATATAGTAACATACTTTGATAATAAGATAGGGAATAAACGACGCTGCCTCTGTTTCCAGCATGTGATATTGATCTTCAATTAACTTGTTAAAGACCAATTGTAAGTAATCCAATCCTTTCAAAAGCACCGAAGGATTAGTATCGAAAAATCGTAATGTCAACCATTTAAGAATGAGATCCAAATTAGACACCAATGCTTTGTTATTCCCAGACAAATCCTGATAAAAATACAAATAGAATTAAGAATCGTGTTGTATAAGATGTAAAATGTAGAATAATAGTTGTAATATCTTGTAAAATATTATAACTAGCTTTCAAAATTTTATATTGATACTTTTAGAAGTATATATGTACATTACACAAAAATTATAAAATTTAATTATAAAAATATAAAAAGATTACATACTATGTTGTATTATGTATATAAATAAAAATTGATATTGAATACTAAATTACAAATTGTTTTTCTCTCGTATATAAATATATGAATTTAAATAAATATTTACCTCAGTAAGAGCTTCGATAGCCTTTAAATGATATCGGAAATCGGAATGGAACATGTTTGCTCTTAGAGTCTTGTTGACATTCGCTGCAGTCATAAGATCCTTCAGAAGCTCGACAAATTCTTCTCTAGGCGTAGTAAAGTTCCATTTAAGCACTTTCAACTTTTGCTCATCAATCACACGTTGATGCTTCAAATTATTGACCACCAGCAGAGGACTATTATCTACATCGTCATCTTTCTTACGAGCACTGCCTGGTTTCGATGACGCGCCCTTCTGGAATAATAAATAGTAATAATATATCATAAAAACAAAAAAATTGTGTAAAAATTATTTAACAAAAATAAATTTAAAATAATTAAATAGATATATAAATAATAAATATATTCAAATTTATGCTCAAATTATAAGCTTAATTATCAGATTATATATCGATATTCGAGATTTCATTACCGATTTAACCACTTTTGCAACTTTTGCACCTTTCGCGCCACCCTTTTGGATATTGTCATCTGAAGGTTCTTTCTTGGGCAAAGGCTTTATAGGTAAACTGGGACGAGCTTTGTCCAGTGCGGCAATTACTACCGTCCGTGACCCTGGCTATAAAAATTATTTTATTTATTATTATTATTATTATTATTATAAATATATATTATTATTATTATTATTATTTATATTTATTATTATTATAAGTAAATTCTATTTATTTCTATTTATTTTTATTATTGTTATTAAAAATATATTCTATTTGTGTTTCAATTAGATCAATAAACAAAATTATTAATTATGTAAGTATTAATCAGTTAAATGTACCTTCAGTTTTTCGGTGTTTCTCACCATAGCCTCGTAAGAGAGATGAATCATAAATCCAAGAACAGCTTCCTGAGCGTTCTTTCGTACGTCCGAATTACGGTCCTCCAGATTAGTATACAAGTAGGGAAGACACACAAGAAGTTCCTCCTTGGGAATCTGTTTCACCGGTATCAAGGGTAATTTCTGCGCCAGCCAGTTCCATAGCTCAGCTCGCAGCATCGGTGAGCCCACTTTCAGAGCGTCTCCTATAATCTCACCATCGAAGAACTCTTTACAGCCACATTGATCTCCCCATGTGTTGATGCAGGAGATCGCGGCCGTTCTAATCCAATTTTTGCTATCACCTAGACACTGCAAAAATCCGGGAAACAGAATGCGAACGTGCTGTTTCACTGGCGGTCCAATCGCCGTCGCCAACATCTCACATATACCTAAAAGCATATTCAAAGATAAAATATAATAAATTGACTCATTGAATTATTGACTGATTATTGAGCGATAAGATTTTTAAAAATCAGGATTAAATTCTAATTACTAAAAATAAAATTTTTTATTAGATTATATTTTAAGAACCTAAAAGGCTTTAATACATATATATAATCCAGGATTGAAATTATAGCTTATAAAGCCTGTTTATTAATGATTGATCTCAATGATTAATAAATATTTTAATTATAATTAGTTTAATTATTAGCCGATTAAAGCATTTAATATGCAATAAAATAAATATATTATTCAGTTAATAAAGTAAAACCAACCCAAGGTTGCTTGCGCAATCTTGCTATTGCTATCCACGAGACGCAGAGCCAGTCCTTGTGGTAAATCACCGATAGTCGGTTTGATAAACTTCGCTTCACTGAGGAGAGCGTTCACCTTCTGCAGCGCCTCGTTACGCACTTTCCAATTCTTGTCGGCCAATTCGGCTAATAATGCTTCGGTGATCTGGGCATTGATGTCGACGCGCGGAATCAATTCATTGAGGTCTGGTTCGCTGCCGCTTACTCTCTTTTCCGATGATGATTCTTCTGCGTCCTCGTCCTCATCCTCGGCGGTGGCGGTGTTTAGCTTCCTAGCCTTTGCGCCGCGAATGGGCGTCGGCGGCGTTTCGCCGTTACGCCTCTCGCACTCTTGCTCAATCTGCTGTCGCAGAGCGGCTTTTTCATTATCAAAGAACGTCAATAGTGGTCTGCCCATATAAAGATACAAAGTACCCAACAGGGTAACTGCAGCGGTGCGTATGCTGGGATTTGTCGCCGCTACTGCCTTCTTGATATTCTCGATAATGGACTTGATGTTGAAAGTACAACCTATAAGATTTTACTTTAATAAAAATTTGATACATTTTATTTTATATTTTTTACTTTAATAATTTTTAAAAAATTGTATACAGGGTATTTCACACCACCCGTACCATCCATTTAAAAACTAGAGAAGTGGTTATTTCAAAAAAGCAAAAACATTTTCTTTATAAATCGGGTGCGCTCTATTGGAATTGTTAATTGCAAATTACATATTTTTTCTTAGAAACAACTATGTTTTCTTTACACCAATTGATTCCTCTCATTATTTTATACATAAAAGTATTAAGGTAAGATAATCGAAAAATGAATATTTTACAAGATATTTTATGGTTTATGTAAAATTAAGAAATGATTTCAAGCCTCATAACTCGAAAAGTACTTCATAGAAAAATAATTTATTATAGTGTTTTGGAAAGCTCTCGAGGTAAGCTACAAGAATATGCAATGAAAGATAGGAGGTTCCATTTAAAAAAATGCACTTCCGATCTGAATCGCCTATTTCCAGCCGGAGCCAGAAGTTGAAAATATCACCATTTGATACAGCGCACCCGATTTATTAAAGAAAATGTTTTTACTTTTTTGAAATAACCACTTCTCTGGTTTTTAAATGGATGGAACGGGTGGTCTGAAACACCCTGTATAATGTGGACACTTTTGATTAGTAAGAAATATAATAAAATGAAAATATAATATTAATCATTATAATAATCATGTGCTCTCTCTTTATCCATATTATACAATATTGAAGAAAATTATCAGAGTATTTTGTATACTTTATACTCTTATAAATTAACCAAACATTACAAACCAAACTCTGTGAGTCCACGGCACAGCCATAGTAGTGTCTCCTGCTGCACTTTCGGGTTTTTCTGATTAAACGCAAACGCTACTATTTCATCCGCCACATACTCGAAGCTTGTAGCTTCAGCGATTGCTAACAAGGTCTCGGTAGCGATCAAACTATTCTTCCCATCCGCTAATTTTTCCGTGATATCCATAAGACAGTATTCAGCAACGGTGGCAGTAAAGGGATGATTCTCCGCCAGATATTTGACGATTTCCACGCGCAACTTCAATACCTGAAAATAAAAATAATAGATTTTGCAAGTAGATCCGAAGAATCTACCAATCCACAAATAACAATACAACTCCTTATAAACTCCATATCTGAGCAGGAACTAAAACTGCATCAATAAAGTTACATATTAGTGTGCAATACTTTTCAGTAATAATATTTTTTTAATATTTTTTAATTTTTGTTTAATATTTTTAATATTTTTTAATAATATTTTTAATACTTTTTAGCAATAATCAAGATAAAAACTGAAAGTTGACTCTAAAATTAATAAACCAATCTTATCATTAATATCAAACCTTATAAATCAAATTTTAAAATATCATCCTTACTTGGAAATTCGTGTCCTTGAATCCAGGCTTCTTTGCGAGAGTGCGCACGATCACCTGGGCCGGCACCTCTGTCGAATCCATCATCTTGATGGTCTCCAATAGCTGTGTAACTGCAGCCAGACGCGTTTTCCAGTTACTGTCCACAAGACCGGTGATCACTTCGACCGGCAAGAGCTGCGCCGCCATCTCGTCAATTTCCTCCGGGCTGTAATTTCTTTCCATTTGCACCGCTTTCTTCGTGGATGCCAAATTTGTGAGCGACGAGGCGCCACCGGGTTTCTTGGCCGACTTCTTCACGGTCGCGGTATTGGGTCTTTTGGGTTTGGCATTCTTCAAATTGTCCTTGCTCGCTTTATTCGCTTGCTGCGACTCCACCTTAGCCGGAGCGGTGTTGGGTCGTTCCTGTCGCTTCGTGCTGCCCGTCACTTTGACTACTATCACCGCCTTGTCGGCGCACTCCTTGATCTTGGTCATCTTCAGATTGTCGATGTCCGTGAGGAACGGCATCATTGCCTTCTCTCCGATCAATTTCATCGCCGTACCAAGAGCTTCCGCCGAGTTATCGCGCACCGTTGGATCCGGCTCGTTTAGCGTTTTCAGCAACGTGCTGGTGTACGATTTAAGCAGCTTTTTATTGAGATTGGCCGGTGGGGTGCGCGCGAAACATCGGGCCAGGAAAGCGGCCGTCTCAGCCTTCACAGCCGGATTCTTATTCTCCAGGGCGGCCAGAGTGTCCTCGAGGATGAGATCGATACTGATGCTCTCGTAGATGGCGTCGGCGAGTTCCCGCAACGCGAGCACCACCGACTGCTTCTTCTCACGGAATTTTTCCAATACGGTGGGCAGACAGGCAGCAGCGTATGGCTGAAATCGTTTCTTCAAGCCTGTGGCCAGGCCAGCCAGGCACTTTCCCGCTAGTGCGACCACCACTACGTTGCTGTCTTTGGAGATAATCTTCTTCAAGACTCTCACAACATCGCCATAATCTCCGTTTTCTAGTTTTGGATTTTTAACGAGTGTTTCCAGCGCTTCCAGAGTCTCCTTTCGTTCCTGCCATTTCTTTGCCTCGAGCTTCTCGTAGAAGTCTTTTGGCAGCTTCGACAGAATGTCTACAGGCGCTAATAAATCGTAAGGATCTATATCCGGGATAGAAGCACCATCTACGTCTTCGTTGTCATCCTCGCCATTAATATCGCTTCCTGCTGCTAAGTCCGCATTGTTGCCCATATTCTTCGGCTTCTGGGAACGTAGGTAACGCGTGGGCGTCACTTTCTCATCACCGAGATTGTTAAACTCTGCCTCAAGCTCGGTGATGTGCACCGGCTTCAACGTATTCAGCTGCTGCTTCAAACGATCGCCCACCCACCGATACATCTCTACCACCATAGCCTTGCCCTCCTCTCGCACCGTCTTGTCCCTATCTTCGAGGAAGTTTCCAATCTTTTTCATTAATGGCTTCAGATTGATCACTTTTGGCCCAAATTCCTTGAGCGCCAGTGTCACGGTAGCGATGCACGCAGAGACAATTTTTGGATTCTTCGCATCAGTGCCTTTCAGCAGCTCCTCCTGTACCGCCTCATACTTCTCGATCTCGATGTACATCAATGTGATCTGTACGGCCAGGTCCTTCGTTTTAGCCTTAGGCGCAGCGATGCACTTGGACACGATGCCGTTCATTATCTCGGCCACTATCTTTCCAGCTACTGCAGCGTTTTCTACGAAGGCCAGGGTCGCTTCCAAGCCCTTCTCCTGCGCGGCCGCGTTGCTATCCAACACGAACTTCTTGATGAGGCCCACATACTTGTTCCACTCTGGGGACTTTTCATCGTCCATGCACTGGAATGTCTTCACGCATTCCTCGTATCCGTGCAAACGTGCTCGCCAAGACTATGGTATTATTAATATTATTTAATTTAATATTTAATATAGATTTATTTGATTTTATATAATCTATTCTATATATTTAATACAATTATTCCTGATGCACAATATAATGTCACTTTTTGGAAATAATAGCTCGCTTAATAAATATATTTATATAAATTGAACAATTAGTTCCTTTCGTTAAAAATCAGTGATATCTCATGGTTTTGCAATATTTAATTTATCATAGACAATATTTAATTTATTATAATCACAGACTTATTGATAAAAAGACAACTAGTTTAAATTTCAAAAAGTGACAAATGCCATAAATATTTTAAGATAAAATACAATTATGTTATATACTTTGTGTGTACAGCGTTCCTCCAAAGGCAATTTCACATACTCAGTGTCTTGTTCCATGATTGATTAACTTGCCTAAAAAAATGACTCACTTGAAATATCCTTTCATCATCCTTTCATCACAAAATAAGGTCAAATTAAAATATAAAAAGCACACTTAATAATAGACAATTAAAGTACATTTAATTTTTATATTCAAAGCAAATCAAAATAAATATGTAATCCAAAGCACACGATTTTACCTTAATAAATATGGGTCATTTGACTTGATCTACCCAGTGAATAAAAAAAAATGTTCGACAAAAAAAATATATTTTAAATTAAACTAGACCTTCCAACAAAATCTCAATAAAAGATTTTTCCCATTTCAATAGCGACTTTTCGCAAACAATTCTCAAAATAGCTAAAAATGGAAACGCAAGTGCAACGATGTTGAAACTGCAACAGTTGCCTCCTCTCCTTCCTTAAGAATTTTTGATTTACAAGTATAATTCGTACAAAGGGAAAAATAATAATTAAAAGACTTTTATTCGATGCGAGGGATCCGGGAAGAGGCTCGACGCGCGGTTCAACGTCAATATCGCGATCCGAAGAGCGGCTTCTCGGCGTCCTAGCAAGGGCTTACCTAGCAAGACGACAACGAGCATGAATCCAAGTCCGACACGATCGGCGGGATTACTCGAAGAGGCGGCCGAGCCGCCCTTTGAGACGAGACACACACGAAACGCGAGCTCGAAGCCGCTGGTTTCACGACAACTCGCTCCCTCACGACCTTCCAGCGGCCATTAAAATCTGTTACTTCGAATTTTCAAATGTAGTACATGGCCCTAACTGTCAAGAGGAAACGCAAACAAAAAGGTAGCTACATGTATATGTATATATATATGTATCTAGAGCGGCGAAACGGCTCTTTTGAAGAACCGTTCGATCCGCGATTAGTTTGACGGCGCGACAGCAGATGGCGCGAGAGGCGAACTACACCTGCACCTGCACCCGTTTTATATAATCCCTTTATGAAATTATTATGTAATAATTTGAGATTTTTTTAATTGTATTTTATGTAATAATTTATTATTTATTTAATCTCTGTTCATTATCATCCTTTAACTCAATATTGTTATTCTCGTAATTTCTTATCTAATATTATTATTATTCTCATAAATTTTTATAAATTCTTTTAAATATCTAGATACACCTTGTGTATTTAATCTCTTTCGTCCTTTCATCGTTTTCAAAGTTTAACATATATATATATATATATATATATATATATATATATATATATTTCAAATAAAAGTACAGCTGAGAGTCGATTACAATAGTGAGGAATAATAAATAATTAATTAATTAATAATAATAGATCTGTTCTTTTTAACTAAATTTCTTGCACTGATGCAAAAAAATGTACACTTTTATATAAAGGTACAAATTCATGGGATGCTTAGCGCTCATTTTCATTGCCAAAAGACACTAAAAATGAATTGGCTTTATTTTTATGTCATGTGATATTTTTTAATGTAAAAATCAATACCGAGCGTCATGAAAATGCGCCTTAATGATTTTGATTTCTTACAATTTTTAATTCAAATCAGCTATTCTTTTGCAATTTTTTTTTGTATATATTATTTATTGAACTAATAATATATATATATATATATATATATATATATATATATATACACACATATATAAAATATCTAAATAAATAATATAAAAGAATATCATTTGTCTTTTTACATTCTATATAAAAATAAATACAGACTGTTACGTTACTCTAAGTTATTTTTCTTACAATATAAAAAATAAGAGAAGATAAAAGTTACTTAACTTAAACTTATCGCGTTATATACATATATATTTATACATTTATCGACTTTATATATTTATTTGTTATACATTATTTTTCATCATAAAATATTAAATATAATTATATTAGAATGTATATAACTTGTAAATATATAGTTGCGAAAATTATTTATAATTCGAAATAGCCATCAATTTTTAAATTAATATAATTGGGTCAAAGCCATATAAAGCCATAAATCACAAAAACATTCAAAAAGCGATTCTCTAGAAAGTTTTTTCCAAAAATCTTTTGGATGTATTTTTATCTATTACTCATGATCAATTAGAACAGAGAAATATTTATTATTTCTTCTCCTGATTTCATTACTTGATATGCGTAATATTTTTGTTCTAAGAGAATAATAAAAAATAATAAGACAAATAAAATGAATAATATAAAATATAATAAAATAAATAATAAATTATAAAATTATAAAATATATAATAGATAATGTAGTAAATAGAATATAAAATAAATAATAAAATATAATAGATAACATAACAGATAGAATATAAAATAAAAAAAAAAAAATAATAAAATGATAAAATAATAAAATACAATAGAAAATAATTAAATTTTTTGTAGATAATTTCTACATCATATTAAAATAAAATTTATTAAACATGCGTATTTATCTCATAAATTCTCTATTCACAATTATAAATGTAGCATGAACACATATCAAATGGTGATTTTTTAACATCGAAAAAAATTTTTTGGCAGAGATTTATTTTTTCTTCTATTTACCAGTGGACATTTCAATTTTTTATTACGATTTCTAATTTCGAAAATCAGATTTGTTATGCCATAGGTTGCTATGGTTAAATCGATCGTCGCGGCGACATATTTCTATCGCCGTCTTTACATTCTTATCACCACTTTGCGTTAAGAGAGTCTGTAAAATCGATGAATTAAACTATTAATTTCTCTCAATTTAACAATTATTTTCTCTTAATTTAATTAACGAGGTAATGACAATCTGATCGAATCTGCTCGATAAGCAGTTCAAGATTAAAGTTAATTAATAACAACGATGACATTGGCGCTCTCAAGAATAGATTACACCACGGTAGGTGTTACCTCACGTGGCACAACTATCATATTTCCGCCTAATGAAGCAACGAAACAGCCGCAAAAATTCGCCGTTGCAGATCACGATGGCATATTGCACATTTACGGTATCTATTTTACGTGTTTTATTAAAAAAACTAATTTCAAAAAAATCATTTTATAATAATCAAAAAATCATTTTATAATAATCAAAAAATATTTTAATATCAATATAGCTAGAAAAGAAAATCTTTCTCTGTCCTCTCATATAAGAAAAATAACAAGAATAATTGAAAAATAATTAAAAGAATTTTGTACTTTTTTTTCGAAGAAAATTTCAAATTTGTGATTAGATTGTATAATATTTTATATTATAATAAATATTATTATATCAATATATTATAAAATAAATTATTAAAATTATAATAAACTATTTTTCTTGAGAGTATTAAAAAATATTTGAATATGCAAAAAAAAAATACAAAATTATTTTGTTACAGGCATGAAAAGAGGTGAACTGCAATTGTCATTTAAATCTTTGCCCGGTCCAAAAATCCATAAAATGGTTCTTGGTGGCTCGGTAGGTCTGTCGAGGGACAAGATTTTCTTAGCATATGATAGCTCTGTGAAGGGATTTACGAGAAAGGGCAAGCTATTCTTGGAGTTCGATACCAGTCTTATAGATCCAATTTCTGCCTTGTAAGCTCACTCTGTTTCTCTCTTCGCGACCCTCAATAATATCTCATTAATTATCATCGTGGATTTGCTCCATCTAGATATGTCCTCGGTCCTGATCTCGCTGCGTGCGCGCGCGATCTCTATCACAGGTACAGGGATTGTAAGGACGCCGACTCCTACCTGGCCGGGGAAACTTTGCACGACGTCGTGCTTTTACCCGGAGACGGCAATGTGGTGTACGCTATCCTCGCTTGTGCAGACTGCGCGGTAATATTCGACGATATCAGACGTATCAGCTGGAAAATAGTTTGTTCTAGATGTTAATTAAGAGAAAGACAATAATTATATAAATTAATTATATAAATTAACTAATTTAATAACTAATTATTATATATAACTAGAAATTAATGACTAATTATTTTAATAACTAATTATATAAATTATTATACACATGAATTCTTTTTTTTCTCTGCTCTCCAGGTACGCGTCTTGCATGGCACAAGAAGTCCGACAGTCCTGAGATTGCCGAGTGCTCCCACGGTACTCTCTGTATATAGGTAATTGTCTCATTGATGTTTGGATCGCATACAATATTTTAAATTCAAAGATTATTTCAGATTAACTATTATATGCTACTTTTTTTCAGAGAAGGAGAGGTATACTCGAAGGATCGCGTGTTGGTTGGCACCGCGGATGGTAGAATCGGACTGCTGATTCTTCAAGGTAATAAAACTCTCCGAATCACCTGGCTGTTGACTTCGACAGGCTCGGGAATCACTTCGATGGATACTCATCAGTTGCAGGACGACATAGACATCCTCGTGGGTCGACAAGACGGAACTGTCGAGGTGTACACTTTTCCCGATGAAGATGTAACGTCCATTCTACGCTATCACTATGTAAGCCATCAGGATCTAAATTTTCATTGAATTGAAGAAATAGATTAATTTAGTGGTGATATATTACAGAATGCAGGCGAAAGTATTAGTACAGTCGTGGGTGGTATAATTGGCATCGCCAATTATGCTGAAGTTCTCGTAACGACTTACTCAGGCCGAGTATTCGGATTGACTACCAGTCCGCCTGGCTTACTAGAAGCAGGACAGAGCGATGTTGGATTGGCCAGATTAAAACTGGAGATACAACAACTGCAGGAGAAATTGAATGAGGAGAAAGAGTCGTCCAATTTCATGTCGGATCCTCTAGCACCCTTGATATTGGCACTGAATCATAAGTAAAACTCGTGGCAAATTATTCTTCTCTCTTTCTCTCTCTCGCTTTCTCTTACTATTGAAATATAAACCTGATTAATTGAGATTAAAATTAGAATTCAAATTGATTAGGATGATGTTGCATAAGGAGGACGCGTCGTATTCCCTCTCTGTAGAGTTGGATGCGTCGATCGACAATATTCTCATACAATCAGACACACCTATCGACCTGTTGGAGACGGAGAACAATAGCGCAGTAGTCAGTCTGTCCGCTTGCAATCCTACAGAGAGCAATTTTGTCCTTGCTACTTATCGATGCCAAGTAATATATCGTACATTTACACGCAATTTTTTTGGAATTATAAAATTTTAAAGATTTAATATTTTTATCTGCAATCAATTTTTAAATAATTTGTCAATAGATTAATACAAATCGTTTGGAAATGCGATTGAGATCAATTGAAGGTCAACCGGGTACCTTGCAGATTTACGTAACATCCCAGGTATATTTTACACATTGTTTTCCGAATCTTGAGTCTGTTTATGTTGTTAATATCTTTGATAATCTTCAGGTACAACCGAAGCGCTGCCGTAAAATCTTGATTCCTATTTACGCCTTGTCTCTGCACGTCAGGCAACACGAGGACGATGACACCACGCAATCCAGTGGTCCGTTTAACGAATTGAAATTAAACGGCAATTTCACGATTGCCGAGGTACGATTTTTCATTTTGTCGTGAAAAAAGTGATTTTTTTATATTCTTCTTAAATCTTCCTTTCAGATGCATGCGTGGCTTTCGCTGATATTACCAGATGTGCCTGAAAGACCTCACATTCACGAGGGCGAAGCTGTCTTAGTGTACATCTCATCCTTCATCGGGACGGTCCTCAAATGCAAATATAAGTTAGTTACATGATAATAATCAACATTTATAACGTAAAATTATAAATTAGCATTCGTCATCCATCTCACAATAAATTGCAGAAAAGGAAGCGCGCTTTTTCTCGGCGAGAATATATCCAGTATCATAATTCTTAGAGATATATTGACGAAGGAAGCGACGAAACGAAAGATAAAGCTAGATGTATTCTGCGGTAATTATCGGTTATAATATTTCTCTTCAAAATTGAACTGAATAAACTGAACATAAATTTTCTTACAGAAGTAGCAGAAGGAAGTATATCTAGAGTCCTAGAATTGATTCTTCCGCGACTGAATGCGGCCTACGATTTAATACAGAAGATAAAAGTTCTGGACGCTCTCGAGGAATGGGAGCTCAAGTTCAATCCGAAGGAAAATTTATGTTCCGAGTATCAAGAATTGTTGGAGAAGGAAACGGAGATCAGATCGCTTATGATTAAGGATACCGAGATTCTGAACAGATTGCACGCGATCATTACTGACTTATACGTAGACTGGGAACGAGCGAAACGATCTCGAAGGTGATGATAAATGATAGATGACTTTTTATGCAAGGATTATTACCTAATTATAATAATGCTGTTTATATAAAATAGGATTAGTAGCAAAGAAGCCATGGCGAAGCTTCAAAATGCTCTTGAATCCAGGGATCTAGCCACTATCTTGCAAATGTTCATCGGTAAAACCGATGCGAGCGGGTCCACACTAATACCTGCGGCTATTTAAACGTATCAGAAGTCGCAAAAGAAGTGGACCAATATATTTCTATAAACATATTCAAGTAAAAAATATATTTTTTTAACGATGATTCACAATATATAAACCACTAAATTGTCTAGACTTAAAAATGTACAATTGCGTGATTAGTGTTGATTATTACATATGTATCTGTGTGTGTGATATTGTTTGATAGAACTGCGTTTTTCCGATTTTCATTTGTGTGAAACGGTAACGACCTATATATTTTTACATAAGTTATTTACTCCATTCGAGAAATATTGGAACATATGTTACAATTGTTTATAGGCAGTGCATTAATGTAATTCACTCGTCAGTCGTTGAATTTACATTAGATTGTCCGGAAGTGAAAATCTTTAAAAGATTTATAAAGTTATGCATAACAGAATTTTTATTATAAAATGGAATTATAGCTGTTATTAATATATTTCCGGACAATCTGCTCAAGAGCCCGCGATAAAGATGCAATATTTTACAGACCGATTGAGCGCCAATATTCCGCCAATATAAGTGATCCAACTTGTCGCACAACATACGACACATATTTTCGTTCCGTCAAATAGTCCAACATTATATCGGTTCAAAAAAGTATTGTCTGCAAAAATACAGAAACATAATTAAACATTTTTCCTACATTTAAAAAACTGAAGCAATTTAGAGACAAAAATTTCCTTCTACCCACATGTTATCAGTCGTTCGCGCAACGGCTTCCAGGGGATCCCTGTCCGCGATTATAGTATCTGCCGTCGACGTTATAGTGTACTCCAGATTTTGTCCGCCAGTGTGAGGCAAAATGCTCTCCGGATTATCGTCTGGTGGGACGATAGCGTTGCCTGATGCCTCAACCTCCAATTTCAGGTCTCTCACAAGATCCTGAATCGTTTTCGCCTGTATTTTATCGCCCTCCATGTCCTCCACGTTCTTCCCGGTTAGGATCCTGTTCAGCGACTGCTGTTTCTCATTTGTCTTTGCTCGAGAGTGCGTGTGCATGTGCCTCTTCATGTCGCTTCGCACTCTGAACGGTTTCCCGCAGACCGTGCACGGATGTGGCTTCTCACCCGTGTGTATACGACGATGATTTTGTAAGTAACTGCTCGCCCGGAACGTTTTGCTGCAGTACTCGCAGCGATAATTCTTCTCTCCGGTGTGGATACGTCTGTGTACGATCAGTGAGTATTTTCGGGCAAACTCTTTGGCGCAGTATTCGCACTGATATTGCTTCTGCTCCGAGTGAATGCTCGTCGAGTGATACTTCAGGTCGCCCCATTGTCGAAAATGTCGGCCGCACACCTCGCATTTGTACGGTTTGTCGCCGCTATGAAGTCTCAAATGAACCTGATGGTTGATAAAAGAAGTTATATTATATTATTATCATGCAAATTGATACGCTTCGCTAGCAGGGTTGGCATGTTTTAAACAATGTGTTTAAAACTGTTTGATTAAAACTTGTTTAAAATAATGTCCAAATGTTTTAAACATTTTTGTTTTGAACTGTCTTAAACTATTGTTTAGAACTGTTTAAAATATCGCAAATAAAATGATTATTTGGAAAAGAAATTGTAAAAAAATCAAAAACAAACAAAAACTAATAGATGTGTATGTTGCAAAAAAGTTTTTGTTTTAGTGTTTTTAGTTTTTTATCTATATTTATGTAACATATAGATATAAAAATATAAATAATAAAATAAAAATGATAAGATGGGTGTTATTTTAGCAGAATATTTATTTTTGGATATTAAATAACAATACAATAAAGATTACTTAGAAGATATTGACTGACTTTACATTTTACATTTTAGCATTTTAAATTAATAGTACATAACTCAGCATGTCAGTAGTTCTAAAAAAAAATAAAAAAACCTCAATTCTTCTTTTAAAAAGAAGAATTGAGGTTTTTTTATTTTTCTTTTATTTATAATTTATGTTGAAAGTTAAGCACGAGGTTACTTAATAAGAATAGGAAAGGAACCAAAGTATTATATATATTAAATATTATTAACTAAAACTTTTTTTTAGAACTACTGACCTGCTATGAGTTATGTACTATTAATTTAAAATGCTAAAATGTAAAATGTAAAGTCAGTCAATATCTTCTAAGTAATCTTTATTGTATTGATTGTTATTTAATATCCAAAAATAAATATTCTGCTAAAATAATATCCATCTTTATCATTTTTATTTTATTATTTATATTTTTAATAGCGTTGTCAATTTTGGCAACGTTATTTACAGTTTAACGCTAGCAAAAAATTTAAATATTTACACAGATCAAAGCTATTAAGTGTTTTTTGCTCGTTTAAAACATGTTTTTTTCACTTTATTTAAAAACACAAATAAAACAAAAAATATTGTTCTAAAAGAACAATGTTTTTTGTATAAAAAAAAAGTTTTTTGCCAATCCTGTTCGCTGGTGACATCGATACTTACTTTTAACGCGCTAGCAGCGAAAAATCGCTTGCTGCAAACCTCGCACTGGTGCGGTCGGTCTCCACTGTGAGATCGCATGTGATAGACTAAGCTATTTTTATGATGGAATGAACGGTTGCATTCACGACACGTTAAATCGTCACCTACGAGAGAATATATCATTTAAACCTTTCTTTCAGCACCGAGGAATTTTTTGAAAAAAAATTTGATACTAACTTGACTTTCGCGTTTTTGGTGATTTCTTTTTCTTAGCTGTCTGTGGAATGTCAGTCTTTGCCTTCTCGTCGGAAGTTTTATTCTCGTTAACGACCGATGGTTTTAATTGTTGTTGGTCCCTCTGTTGTACTTCTGGGGCATCGGTAATGGTCCACAATGATGATTCGTTGTTTGCAATGGGCAGCGGAGAGTCTGTATCATCATCGATATGAGCACCAGTTTCTTCCACTGAGAATAAAAAGGGAAAAATTTGTCTGTAAATAATTTTTATACCAAAATTTTTAAAATATTAACATTGAAAAAGCATTATCTCTTACCTACACCTCGAATACCTTCCATAAGGTCTTCGGGTTCGCTGAATTCTTCGATTACAGTATTTTCTAAACTATGTACTGTTTCTGGCACTGATATTGTGATATTGGTATTCGTCGCTTGAGCTATTCGTGTCTCCTGTTTTACCGGTTCATAATGTACCTATAAATTAAATTTAATCTTTGTTTTTTGTAAATATTTATATGTATGTAAATTTTATATGTATAAAATTTACATATATATACTTGAATTGTACAGGGTGTTTCAGACGATCCATACCACTCATTTAAAAACTAGAGAAGTAGTTATTAAAAAAAAATAAAAACATTTTCTTTATAAATCTGGTGCGCTCTATCGAAGAGTGATATTTTCAACTTCTGGCCAGAAATAGGCGATTCAGATCGGAAGTGCATTTTTTTTTAATGGAACCTCCTATCTTTCATTGCATATTCTTGTAACTTACCTCGAGAGCTTTCCAAAACACTATAATAAATTATTTTTTCATGAAGTACTTTTCGAATTATGAGGCTTGAAATCATTTCTTAATTTTACATAAACCATAAAATATCTTGTAAAATATTCATTTTTCAATTATCTTACATTGATACTTTTATGTACAAAATAATGAGAGGAATCAATTGGTGTAAAGAAAATATACAGTTGTTTTTAAGAAAAAATATGGAATTGTTAATTGCAAATTACATATTTTTTCTTAAAAACAACTGTATGTTTTCTTTACACCAATTGATTCTTCTCATTATTTTGTACATAAAAGTGTTAAGATAAGATAATCGAAAAATGAATATTTTACAAGATGTTTTATGATTTATGTAAAATTAAAAAATGATTTCAAGCCTCATAATTCGAAAAGTACTTCATAGAAAAATAATTCATTAGTGTTTTGGAAATCTCTCGAGGTAAGCTAGAAGAATATGCAATGAAAAATAGGGGGTTCCATTTTAAAAAATGCACTTCCGGTCTGAATCGCCTATTTCCGGTCGAAACCAGAAGTTGAAAATATCACCATTCGATAATCAAATGTTTTTACTTTTTAAATGGATGGTACGTGTGGTCTGAAACACCCTGTATATAAGAATCAAATCGGTTACTTTATAATTTCAATGTAAATGAAATATACCTTTAAGTGTTCAAAGAACTTCAGCTGACTGTTAAACTTAGAACTACACAATTCACATTTGAAGACATTAACTTGGATTTCACTAGCCAGTTCAACTGTCGTATTTTCTTGACCCGATTTGCTATTGTCCTTCCGCGACGCGTTCTTCTTGGTCTGTTGCTGCTTCAGCTTACGAGGTATTCTCTTCTTATGTGGCAAAGTTTTCTTAGGTCCGGACGCCGATGTGGCATCTTCGCTGCTCTCTGTGGAAACCTCAACGTCATATTCGCTCTTAACATTGATGAACTCTTGCTTTACGTTTTGCGTTATTCTTTTAAAGGGTTGCAAAGGTGGATATACAGGAGAGGTGGTATTCGGTTCCGGCACTGTTTGAATCGAGTACGAATTCACAGGCGCTAGAGTTTCTAGATGAGAAACGTCTGGAAGAGTTGGATCCTCGTGTTGGGACTGAATGTGGAGTTGCTGCTGCTTCTGGTGATGAAACTGTACCGCAACCAGAGCCGCAGCAAGCCTACGATCATCCTGCATCACATAATTCATATTCTACATGCAAGATATAAATGCAACTGTACAAGCACTAAGTAGCATATTACAACCTCTGTCAGTTCCTGTTGCAACAAGTCGTCTGATTCGTAATATTGTGCCCCCGCGCCGTAATCTGTGCCAACACCGGCGTTAATCATGTCCACGACCATACCCTCCGAGATTAATTCACCGTTCAAGGATAACAGTGGTACTCCTTTACTTAGAGCTTCTCCGTCAGCCCTTTGAATGGCGATGTACTGTGCACCTTCCATTCCCTCCAAGAGCACAGCCTGTGCATCCTCTGTTGTGACTTCCATAATTGAGTGTATCCCTGGACAACGTCCAAGTGTTGTCTTTTGCAAAATCTTCTACCGATTTATAGAAGTCAGTTTTTTGTACCTTAAAGAAATATTATTTATTAATGAAATAATTCATTTGTGCTTAAATTCTGTTTCTCTAATTGAAATAAATAAAATATAGTTTATATGAAAAGATTCAATTATTAGAGATTCAATGACTCCTATCTTTTTTTTAATGTCAAGCAATGATTTAATTTATAATTTATGAATTTGATATAATAATAGCAAGTTTAAGTGTGTCTAAATTAATGAAAAGTCCTGCATTAATTTAGATGCTTAAATTATTTTATTAGCTGTTAAAAAGTTAGGAATCCATTTTCAACATAATTTTAAAAGTAGCAGGTACTTTTCATTAATTTCATTAATCATAGAACAATAAAAAAATATATCATTTTTCCAGGAACGCAATACTTTTCTCACATTTTTATAATAAAACTCTCAATATTAATATGAAATAATGAAATAATATCAAGATTAAGCAGTAAATTTTTTATTAACATTGAACATTCTTATTACAAACTTCATGACTAATGAAATAATAAGTTCTGTCCTTTTTACTTCCAAACGAAAGGATTCTGTACTTTTAAAGAAATTATTAATTTCATCAAATCATTTATTAATAAAAAAATTCATTTGTGCTCAAACTCTCTTTCTGTAATTAAAATAAATAAAATATAGTTTATATGATAAGATTCAATTATTAAAGATTCAATGACCTTTCTATCTTTTTTTTTAATGTCTAACAATGATTTAATTTATAATTATGCATTTCATATAATAATAAAAGCAAATTTAAGTTTGTCTAAATTAATGAAAAGTTTTGCATTGATATTTAAAATATTTTATTAGCTGTCAAAGAGTAGAATCCATTTTCAACATAACTTTAAAAGTAGTAGACATTTTTTTTTCATTTCTTTAACCATAGAACAATAAAAAATATATCATTTTTCCAGGAATAATACTTTTCTCACATTTTTATAATAAAACTTTCAATACTAATATTAAATAATAAAATAATATCAAGATTAAGCAGCAAATTTAAATTACATTGAACATTCTAATTATAACACTAATATAAGCTTCATGACTAATAAAGGAGTGACTTTTTTTTAATGTCAAGCAATTTAATTTATGCATTTTATGATAATAACAAGTTTAAATTTGCCTAAATTAATAAAAAATCCTACATTAACACTTAAAATATTTTACTAGCTGTATATTAGTGTTGAGAGTTTTATTATAAAAATGTGAGAAAAGTATTATTCCTGGAAAATGATATATTTTTTATTGTTCTATGGTTAAAGAAATGAAGAAAAAATATCTACTACTTTTAAAGTTACGTTGAAAATGGATTCTACTTTTTGACAGCTAATAAAATATTTTAAATATCAAAGAGCTGTGTTTTATCCGGATGAAAGGATCGTGTTCATCCACTCTGAGAAAAAAATGCGAGAGATGCAGTTTAAAGGGACACCTGATCGAGGGGGGACGTCGATCAAGGTTTAAATCTGGCGCGTGTGCGTACCTTGGGTCTGACAGCGGGACCAAGGTCACTGCACCCGGACCAGTCGGAAAATCTCAGCGGCGTTTTGATACGCGTCGCCCGCACGAAAATCCCCTCGCTCTCACCTTCGTTTAGGATAATTCGCGCGTCCGGCCCTCGTCCTCGTCTTCGCCCCGTGTGATTCGCGTGACATAAACAAAGTGAAATATTGAAACACTGTAGGACAAAATGTGACAACAGTGCTTGGCCCTCGACGCCATTAGACCGGATGTACCCCACCCGCGCCGCCCACGCAGGGGGGTCGCGGGGTCTAGGGATTTTTCCTTCCTAGGGATTTTTCCGCCGGCGAGCGCAAAGTCTGTAGACGGAAAATATCCCTAGATCCGTGATTCGATTTATCCTCTCGCCCCAATCGTCAGGATCACTTCGATTCTCCTCCTTATCTATTCGACGCCTTCTTATTTATTCGGATCGTCCTCTTTTGACAGATTTCGCTCCGGACGAAGTATTATTTTTCGTTGGTGTCTTGGCGACGCTGATCAGACCCCGTCTCTTCCGCACGACGGTGAGCTTCCGGTTTCCGATGGCCGTGCGAAGTATCGCGAAATGTCAAATTGATATATTCGCGGTAAAGAGAGCGTATGCGTGACATTTCCTGGCGCGACGCGGCCGGCGAGAGATTTCGTCGAGGGCGACGAGACCTTCGCGACATCTCGAGATCGAGGCTTGATTCGACGATTGAAGCAGCGAAACAGTAAATAATCCAATATGCGTATATTATATTATCCAATAATTCGAACTGCGTAGGGTTAGAAGAGGGGAAGTTCGCACCTACCTATCTAGCTGTCACTCTCAGCTGATTCATTCACCTCGCCGGACAACATTCCTTTATTGTACTTTTTATTTTTTTTTTTTACACAATAGTTATAGTAAAAATCATACTAAGACTTTTATCAGCCTAATATTGTCAATAAAGAACGAATAATAAATGCGCACATTGGATGTTTCGTAGCTGCTAAGAAAGTTATCGAGCGAATGTCTTCAGTAAACATCAGGATGATTCATTGAATGGATGATAAAAAATGTTGTAGCCTCTGCAATATTGCAATTCACCCACGAATCTATGAGCTTCCCAATTACTGAAGTAAAATGATGAAACCTAAAATCATCATGACTTGTATTTTCAGAACCGGGCTCTGGTCTTAATCCAAAATTATGATGTGACAGTGTATAAAGCATCCAAGTGATGGCTTCGATCTGTCGACGTTGGAGATTATGGATATTGCCCGTACTGACCTGCCTGTACGCGCTTCTTATTGTTGTACTCGTACCAATCTTGCTAGTCAATTCCATCAAGCATGGTTTCAAGAAGGAGGATCAGGGTGCGCTGGTGGGTGGTGCTTTCGTCTTGCTAGCATTACCCATCGCCTTCTACGAGATTATCCAGCACATGATATATTACACCCAACCTAGATTACAGAAATATATAATAAGGTGAGTCTTCGGTCGCCAAGAAAATTTATATTGATTTAATTTTATTTCTTTTTTCTCCCTATCATTATATAGTATTAAATATGGATTTCTTATTTTATATTACATTATTTTTCAGGATATTATGGATGGTGCCCATTTACGCAGTAAATGCTGTAAGAAAAAAAAGTTACTAGTCCTTGTGTATATCAGATAAAATGCATAAGTATTTATTCGTTTAATAAATATTTCTTGTTTGCACAGTGGTTAGGCTTAGTATATCCTGCAGGCAGTATATATGTGGACAGCTTAAGAGAATGCTACGAAGCTTATGTGATATATAATTTCATGATGTATCTACTGGCCTATTTGAACGCCGATCACCAATTGGAACATAGACTGGAGATATCCCCTCAAGTGCATCATATGTTTCCTTTGTGCTGTCTTCCTGATTGGGAGATGGGCAGAGAATTTGTACACATGTGCAAGCATGGAATTTTACAATATACAGCTGTTAGGCCTATATCAACTTTAGTATCATTGTAAGAGGAATATCTATTTATTTCTAGATTGTGATATACTTGAATGCATTTGCTTATTCTGTGCTTCTATCTTTGCAGCATCTGCGAACTGAACGGAGTGTATGGAGAGGGTGAATTTAGAGGAGACGTCGCTTTCCCCTACATGATCGCTTTAAACAATCTGTCACAATTTGTTGCCATGTACTGTTTGGTACTCTTTTATCGTGCCAATGTGGAGGCCTTGAAGCCAATGAAGCCAATTGGAAAATTTCTGTGCATCAAAGCTGTAGTGTTTTTCTCGTTTTTGTAAGTTTATTATCATAAAGTGCCTGTGTGTTCTCAAATTCGAATTAAAGACACAATGTATTCTCAATTTTCAGTCAAGGAGTGTTAATAGCTTTATTGGTCTATTTTGACGTGATATCAAGTATTTTTAACGAAGCCGATACAGACGACATCAGGAATATACCGTCCAAGTTGCAAGACTTTTTAATTTGTATAGAGATGTTTCTAGCCGCGGTAGCTCATCACTACAGCTTCTCCTACAAACCATTTGTCAATTTAGCCCAGGGTCAAGCATGGTGGGATGCATTTAGGTATATTAAACAATTATGAATATATTTTGAAACAAATTAAAACACTTTTTCAATAATCTCATATATCCTCTGATAAATTAATATATATGTGTATATATTAATATATAAGTGTATTATGACACTGATATTAATATTTAGCAATATTTTCATTACATAATTAGCATACGTATACATTTTATAGGGCAATGTGGGACGTTTCTGACGTGCATAATGACATAAAGGAACATTTGGGCGTCGTCGGCTCGTCCTTGAGCCGCAGGATACGTGGACGAGGCGCTTATCAGCAGGCTTGGGGAAGCGCCACGGAACGTACATCGCTTCTACCCGAGGCTACGGTGATAAGTCAGGCCAGAAGCGCGCCTACCTGCTCGTTTTCGGGCTACAACACGGCTGAAGCCGGACTGAACAATAATCCATCTGTCGGGGAATCCGAAGAGGCGACCCCGGATGCGCAGGATAATAGTAATACCGTTATTACGTAGCCAATATGTCTGAATCCATCCGCGCGAAGACGATATTTAATTGCGACGCGTTAAGAAACCAACGTATTTTGACAAGAATTATCTTTAGTATTACTTTTTAACGGAAAAAAATACATAGTTTTGCAATAACAATCTTCTTTCCAATGCTATTGTACAAATCATTATAGTCATTTATCACCACATTACATATCGCATTGGGACGCATGTTCTGATGTCATGAGATGTCCTTTTCACGATTAATATGGGAACAATTTTTCCTTAGTGAGAATATCGAGGTGTATTGTATATTTTTCTTTTCATTTAAGCTTAACAATGTAAAATTATATCAAGTTTTATTAGAATGTATATAAAAGATATAATTTCATTGTTTACATTTTTAGTCAAAATATTAAATTCGAATCGACCTGATAAATCTGTAGCGAAAAGAACATCTGTGGTCTCGGAGCATTCCATTAATTGTTTATGACTTAAGAAATTTGATACAATGAGCAGCGAATTTTGCGAAGAGCATAAAAATTGCTTGGTATATCCTCATTTTGCGAAAGTGACTCACAAATACAATTATATATGTTACCAATGATGTACTACCAAATAATGTACATACATTTATATATAGATATATGTAGAAAAATACTGTATCTCTAGAATATTTGTATATACCTCGAACGACCAACGCATGAAATTTTATTACACGTCCAATACAGATGATGTTATTTTTCTCTCGATATATATTGAACAAAAATCACAAAAACGAGCTATATCCGGATATTGGACGCTCGGAATCTCCTATCCTTTCACGCTTTATATGTACACACCTAAATTGTGTATATATAGATATATAAATATACTCTGCATTCTCTGTATTTATAATTTAATTTATATTTAGAATTATATGTATATATTATTTATAATTATATATATATATATATATGTATATATATATCTTGTGTAGGAAGAAAAATCATATATTTATATGACTTTTAAATAAGATCTCCAGCTCTTGAGAATTTTAATTTTTAGTATAATCGAATTTTATTTTATTTTTTTTAAAGAACTTCACTTTTTCATTTTTCAAAAAAGAATTTCTTTCATTTTTTTAAAAGTGCATACTATGTCAAATACACATTGATCAATAAATTTTTGCATTAACTTGACGTCCTAAATTTTAGACATATATTCAAACCAGCATACATATGTATGCTCTTTTATTAAGAACGTCATCATCTTCTAGCTTTTATTGGCACCGGGTCAATCCAAACTCTTAAGATGCAATTTCATTGACCAGCGGCAAATTAAAATCACTAGACTTTCTCTAGATATGGCGTCAATAAAATAAAGTTCAAACAGTTTCAACTTTTTCAGTATGTAAAGCGGCCTTTTCATTGACGCTACTTTTTAGCGTCAATGAAATTGCACCTTAACAGTTGGCAGCCCTACGAGATAGGCTGTGCAGCACTGCGCGTATATAAAATAAATTTGAAATCGCTTCTAGCCTAACCATCTTCACGCGATCGACTTTATTTGAATTGCACGGCATCGCATCGAATTATGATGCGGCGCCGATTTGTTCGAACGTAATTCGGGACATCGCGATGCTATATAAGCGTTGAATGAGCACGAATTGTCACGCAAATATGATAAATCACATCTACTCACCGTACACCGGCTGTTCCACAGGCCGCTCCACTCGCTCGCCTCGGGACGTCCCATTCCAATCTTGATGCACACGATATCATCAACGCGAACGCGCGACACTTTATTCGGCACTCCCGATATTCGCTCGCATCCGATAATCATCATCAAGGGCGCAAATAACGCGACACGACTTCGCTCCATCTTCGCGATCGCGCTATCACTGAACTGTGAAAAATAGCTGTCGCGCACTTTCACCGACATATTATGAAAGTCGCGCGATCATCCTTGGACACTTTCGACGCTCTTTCACTCGCGATATTCATTTAAAAACGGTTAAAAGACGCGAAAAATGCGGACGTACGACGATCCGTGTAACTGCGTATGACTCCGATTCACGTATGACGCGTATGACGTAGCAGTGACGCGTATGACGTAGCAGTCACGCGCCAACATGGCGGCCGAACCAGTGCGCACTGGTTCGGCCGCCATGTTGGCGCATGACGTCACTGCTACGTCATACGCGTCATACGTGAATCGGAGTCATACGCAGTTACACGGATCGTCGTACGTCCGCATTTTTCGCGTCTTTTAACCGTTTTTAAACGAATATCGCGAGTGAAAGAGCGTCGAAAGTGTCCAAGGATGATCACGCGACTTTCATAATATGTCGGTGAAAGTGCGCGACAGCTATTTTTCATAGTTCAGTGATAGCGCGATCGCGAAGATGGAGCGAAGTCGCATCGCGTTATTTGTGCCCTTGATGATGATTATCGGATGCGAGCGAATATCGGGAGTGCCGAATAAAGTGTCGCGCGTTCGCGTTGATGATATCGTGTGCATCAAGATCGGAATGGGACGTCCCGAGGCGAGCGAATGGAGCGGCCTGTGAAACAGCCGGTGAACGGTGAGTAGATGTGATTTATCATATCTATTTGCGTGACAATTCGTGCTCATTCGACGCTTATACAGCATCGCGATGTCCCGAATTACGTTCGAACAAATCGGCGCCGCATCATAATTCGATGCGATGCCGTGCAATTCAAATAAAGTCGATCGCGTGAAGATGGTTAGGCTACAAGCGATTTCAAATTTATTTTATATACGCGCAGTGCTGCACAGCCTATCTCGTAGGGCTGCCAACTGCTAAGGTGCAATTTCATTGACGCTAAAAAGTAGCGTCAATGAAAAGGCCGCTTTACACACTGAAAAAGTTGAAACTGTTTGAACTTTATTTTATTGACGCCACATCTAGAGAAAGTCTAGTGATTTTAATTTGCCGCTGGTTTCTAGCGTCAATGAAATTGCACCTTTACGGCCAGTGTGAAGTTCGCTCCAAGGTTGATTTATTTTATTACGAACGTTATTATGAATATGGGAGCGTCCCATTTGACCACGTTCCGATTGACCACAGCCAATTATATCACATATGCCTAGGATAACCAGCAACGATTAACCAATCAGAGAGTGCTATTTTGAATTGGCCAATTGATGACGTGATCAATCGGATCCCACCTGGTTCTTACTAGAGAGCCTGTTCTTACAACCGGTTATTATTTTCCCGCGCTTAGGGCTTCATAATCACTTTTGATAGTGAAACACGTGATTCGATATCGATATTTGATGAGTGAACTGTGAAGTAGATTATCTCGAGAAATATGCAGAACGAAAAGGAAAGTAAAAACGAGGAACATGACGAGTATCAATACTTGCGGCTCGTCGAGAAAGTCATTAGAACCGGAGCAAAGAGAAACAATCGTACCGGCGTCGATACTTATTCCATTTTCGGCACTCAAATCCGATTCAGTTTACGAGACGGTAAATATGTACATATATTAATTATATATATATATATATATATATATATATATATATATATATTATTATTATTAACATTAAATTAAATTATAAAAAATTTTGTAAATTCAATACGATTCCCTACGAGTGATTAAAATGTATATATCATATATATATATATATATATATATATATATATATATATATATATGATATATACATAGGGAATCGTATTGAATTTACAAAATTTTTTATAATTTAATTTAATATTAATAATAATTAATATAATTTTTTATAATGTATATAAAACAAAAACAGTCATCAGATTTAATAGTCAGTCATTACTATAATCAGTCATTAATATATACATATACTTTTTTGATAATCAATATATAAATATAATTTTTGATAAATTTTGATAATGTATATATAAAGAAAAGAGAGATATTAATATATAAGATTAATATATAAATAAACCTAAATTTCTCTGTTTTTTATAATTTGAAAAGATACTTTACAATTATAATTATAAATTATATATTTAACTCGTGACAATTACATTTGCAGATCTCTCATCAAATTTCCTTATAAAATAGTTTAGTGTGCGATCCTCTGTAGAGGGGTTTGAGAATTTTGTTTCAGGAAATTTATTTCCACAGGTGTTTTCCCATTATTGACAACCAAAAGAGTATTCTGGCGAGCAGTAGTTGAAGAATTACTGTGGTTTATCAAGGGATCGACAAATTCCAAAGAATTGTCAGATAAGGGTGTTCATATTTGGGATGAAAATGGCTCACGTGCCTTTTTGGATTCTTGCGGGTTCACAGATAGAGAGGAAGGTGATTTGGGACCTGTCTATGGATTCCAATGGAGACACTTTGGTGCTGAGTATAAAGATATCCGCACAGATTATACTGGACAAGGTATTTTTTTTTTTGAGAAAGATATATATGTTCTTTAAATTATAATTACTAAATTATATCTTTCTTCTCAATCTTCAAGTAAAATATTTGGAAAGAAAATTACAACTGACATTGAACCACATATTTGTTTAACCAGGAATAGATCAGCTGAAAGAAGTTATTCATAAAATAAAGCATTGTCCAGATGATAGGCGTATTATAATGTCCAACTGGAATCCAGTAGACATTCCAGAAATGGCATTACCGCCATGTCATGTTTTGGTACAATTTTATGTAAATAACGGTGAATTGTCCGCGCAGCTTTATCAAAGAAGCGCAGACATAGGTTTAGGAGTGCCATTCAACATAGCATCGTATTCCTTACTGACTTATATGATCGCTCATGTTACCGGTTTGAAGGTGAGGGTAAATTCTTGATTTGCATTAAATTCCAGACAAGTCTTTCTTTTACTTTCTACTTTCTTTTATTTTCAGCCAGGAGAATTTGTACATACAATGGGAGACTGTCACGTTTATGTCAACCATATAAGTGCCCTTGAGGAACAGATAAAACGCGAACCACGAGAGTTTCCGAAATTAAGGATAGTTAGAGAGATAAAAAATATCGATGACTTTGTTGCCGAAGATTTAGAATTAATAGATTATAAACCTTATCCCAAACTCTATATGAAAATGGCTGTTTAAGCTGCACTCTTTGAAAGTTTTCTGCATAAAATCTTTCAAGGAAAAATTTATGTGTGCATAACTATAACATTAACATTTCCACAACAATGTTAATGTCATTTTTAATATACTTAAGTAAATCAACATTCAACTTTCTATGAATTAATATTAAGCTGTACTGATTAAATAGTATTTTCAATTAAAGTATTATTTTTCGATTCAAGAGAAATGCAAAAAAATTACTTCTAATATTTTTTTTCTTTTTTTTTTCTTTCAGGCTGATAAAAGTGTAAAATGAATATATTTTATATGTAATTCCCTAGCCATATATGTATAACTCTCTCTATAGACATTAGTTTCTAATAAAAATTATATTCTTAATAATATATCAATATATCTCCAAAATTCATCGCGCGTGGTTCTTGCAAATTCATTCTCTTATGTTCATTCCTTTACTCCAAAATTGTCGCACTCTACACACTTTTCAATTTTTATTATACAAATCCAATTTTACTCAATCACGCGCGATACGATCCGCAAACATCATAAAAGGCCTTATATATAAGCAGCTGCTAAGTATAACAAAATGTAATTCCCGTACAATATATGTGTATAAATTGTTTATATGTCTTTATGTAAATTAGCTTTATAGGAATTATTTCTAACGAAATGAGATCCAACAAAACTTTTACCAAAAATACATTTTGCGAGTTGTATCTTTCAACTAGCTTTGCATCTCATTAATATTATAATCAGTGTAGAGGAATGGCCAATTTCATTGCATTCTTTATTATTGTTTAGTTATTTCGAATATACAGTAATTTTTTTTCTTTTTTTTTACGAGGTGCTGGAGCAATAAACAAAGCTCCGTTGTGAAAAAAAAGACCTCTCTATATAAAATTTAAAAACGATAAATTATCGCGAACTTACAATGATCTGAGAGATATCTCACGCAATATTTCATAAATCTTTTTCAGAAGAGGTTTTTTTGTACGTCAAAGGAGCTAGCACATTTGTACATCGTTGGACTGTGTACTTAACTGGTGCAGTTGTTGAGTGACTGCCAATGTGCCACACTCGTTCACTGTTATAATCACCCAAATAACATCTACAAAGAAAAACAATGGACAGTGTATTACAAGGTGCAATCGAATCGAGTTTACGAAAATCAATTTAAATCTAATCTAGGAAGACAATAGAACTTTTATCTTCTTATTCATAGGAAATAATTGAAAAATAAACAATATTCTTGAGTGTCCAATTATCAATCTAGAATATTGATAAGATAAGTGAATGTTGATTAAACTATATATATTGCATTTAGTTTCTGATAAAATAAGATGTCTACTCTTAAATCAAGGTTGATTTACAAATCTTTTTGTTTCGATTACATTTTTTTATTTATCTTTGTAGAATATTATTAATATAAGTAGAATAATATTAAATAATGTAGAATAATATTAAATAATATTAATTTTTTTCTATCTTTGTAGAATATTATATGTTTCTAACAAGTTTTTTATTCTTTTTAGATTTTTCTACTTTATGGGAATACTAGATTGATTTTTAAACTTTATAAAAAGTTTTGCTTCCAAACTTACCACCAAAATAGACACCATTAGATGTCATCATTCTCCATTTACTTTGATGGACGCCAGTTTCGGCTGGACTCTTCAATGTTACGCTTAACTCTGTAGTCTCTTTGGGAGCCAATGGTGGAACTGGTATCCTGGCACAACCCATCAATACTCCGCTAGAATGCTGCAGATGTATTCCACTCGGCCAAATTTCTGTGCCGCTGTTTTGTACACGCCATGACTTCTGGAAATTTGTACTAGGTGGCACAGCCTCTCCCTCACCAATTGTGCTGTCGCATATCAATGTCATACAAGGAGTGTTGAAGGGGTTTGCAAAATCGATGTAGCTGCAAATCGCTGCTTGCAGATTCCTGGGGAATACAAATTTTTAACAATACAACTTAAAGTTCCACGTAGAAAATGTCTTTATTTATGAATCCAAACAATAGAATAATTTTATTTGTTCCAATACAATAACAATAGTTCTGTTGCTTCTATTGTTTGCAAACAAGTGATAAGGAGATAAATACAAGCTAATTCAGAGGCTAATTTAGGTGCCATGTATAACTGGAATATCAATCTATTTCGTAATTTCATATTCCATAATTTAAAATATTAATAATCAAATAAATTAATTAAATTCATAAATTATATTAATATCGCTAGTCAATTAATGAAAGGATCATTGGAAATAATGCAATCGACCAAAACTAGCCAGAATTTTTGTTTATTAATTACCAAACTGTAGTCAATAAACAAAAATTCTGGCTAGTTTTGGTCGATTACATGATTTCCAATGCTCCTTAAATTAATTAAATACTAATTATCTAACTGCCAACTTCATCCGAAGATGTACTCTCTTTAGCAACGCTTTCTGATCTTTTTCTTTATTTTCAAATTATTTTCAAAGCATAAAAATACAAAATAAGTCCCACTTAAGATGCAGACCTGCAAATAAGTGGCAAGGAGTTCAATCTCACATCCAAGCAAGGAAGATCTCGAGCAAAGCAAGCAATCCCTTGACGCAGATATCAAAGGACAATGGCACCTGAATATATCAAAGGGAGAGAAAGAAAATAGAAATGAAAGTAGGATGGACGACAGAGAGGATGAAGCGTAGTGTATTTTAATTCAGGACAGAAAATTCATCAAGTCGAAGAAAGACTCGACGCAAAGCAAATCCCCTCGCGATAGAGAGGACGAGGGGGACGGGGGAGGAATGACAATAAACATGGCGATGCAAGGTTATATGCTGCGTGGGCAGCGTAAAACGGTCGCACGGGGGGGACCCGGGATTACCAATTGTTCATGTCCAGGAAGAAGGCGGCGGTGGTCTCGTTGAGGTGGCTGTCCGCCAGCAGCTTCTGCAGCTGCTTGACCAGGTCGTCCTTGTCCGTGGTGCCGAGACAGCTGAACTGGTGCAGCAAGTGTTGGTCCAGATCGTTGTCGAGGTCCATGATCGCTCAGGGGATGTATTGTCCGTCCGGAGCCCCCGATATCGCTCGTATCCTCGATACACGCTCCACGTGACGACGTCACAGTGACGCTGTCAACGCCGTCGTTTCCTCCTCGCTTCGCTCTCGGCCGCTCTCTCTCTTTCTCTCTCTCTCCCCCTCAGTCACGAATTTTAAATGTCATTCTCTCCGTGCGACACTCGCTCGTGTCCGATATACAGTGCACGCATATCCGCAGTACCAGGCCAGTGCTGTGACGAGACCTGTCCGAACGTTCCGGATGATTTTCCGTAATCTTACGGGACGAGGGGGGAGGGGGGGAGAACACTTCCGGAATGTATAATGCTCCTAGAGATGTCCTTCCGCGTCTTTTCGATAAAGTAAAGTATTTTTTTTTTAATTTTTTTTTATTATTAACTGGATGAGTAACCTCCAGGCTTTCTTTTATACTGTAAATAAAAAAAAAGTGAAGTATTTTTTAGAGATAATGAGACACGGGTCGAATGAAAATTGTCATTTTCGGGAAAAATGTTGATTTCGAAATTTAATTTCTTTTTGTCTTGGATATATCTAGTCTCCTCTTTTTTTTTCATTTTATTTCTGATTTTTGATTATACTAGGGTCGAGGAAAATTTCGTAGTATTTTGGAAACGGGGCTCCAGGAGTTGACGTTACGCTCTTACGCAACGACTCTGATCTCTTTCTTTCTTCGTCTCTCTCGTGCGTACGCATGAAACTGTGACAGTCCGCAATAAAGCCGCGATAAAGCGACCTACCTTGACCTTGTCGGCGTCGCGGAAGACGGATTTTTTTTTGAAAATGAATAATAACTCGCGCATCCCGATGTGGTGGATTTTTCCACAATCGAGGAGCGCTTCAAAGATTGTTCGACATGTTTTCGACGAAATAAACTATTATTTATTTTTTAAATAAATAATTCCGCGCGTTCTGAGACTTTTGGCCAAATTTTCAGCCGCAGGAGATAAAACGCTTCCTTTGCAAGATCTTTACATCCGCGTTCGTCCTTTGCTGACGCAAAAATACCCAAATTTTGGACGCGAGGCGCTTTAATTCGCGCTGTCTTCCCGGATGGCACGCGAGCGAGCGCGCACGCGCGGGGCGCGGGCGCGCATACGCGAGGCACAGGCGCACATGCGCAGGGCGCGCGGCGCGAGACAGTCGACGTGCGAAACAAACGAGAGGCGCGCGCCGCGCCGGGATCACGTAGACGCGCTCCGAATGAGAGCGGCTCGGGATCCGCGACGAGAAAAATCGACGATTCACTTCCGAAGTGCGCCCCGCGTCGGTTGTGTCCGATTACGTCGATCGACAGGGGGTAGTCCACGTGAATTCGCGATGGCGAGGCGCGTCTGAGACCGCCTCGGGGAAGATTCTTGAGATTGAAAAAATTGTACTCTCGCCGTCTCACGATGATGATCGCTTCGATCGTTAATTTGGGCAAATAAAAAAATTCGTAGAAGTTCGCGCGTGTTTTGGATCCCGAGAGGAAGAGGAAAAGAACGGCGAGGAGGTGCAAGGTAGGGAAATAATTTTGCAATCTTTAATTGACAGCTTGTAATGAGTCTTGCATAACCAATCGGTGCGTTTTGCATTTTGTATAAAAAAATATAAGTCTCGTATTTGTATAAAAATATTAAAAAATATATATGTGACGTATATTTTTTCGACTCAGCTGATATCGCTTGCAAATCAGCTGAGAGGATTATTTTCTAAATTGAAAAATAGCTTCACGTGCACGTCGACTAATATCCTATCTTTATCTCACTCCGCAAAAAATAACTGTTTTATCAAAATTAAAAAAAAAAATTTAATTTAAATTTTTTCACTAATTTAAATTAATTTAATTTAAATTAAATTTTTAATTGAATTTTTTTCACTAAATTCTTTATTTGAAAATTTCAATTTTTTACCGCACGTTCTTTTTTTATTTGCCCACTCACTAAATTCTCTATTTGAAAATTTCAATTTTAGAATTACCCAAAATATAATTTTTTACCGCACGTTCTTTTTTAATTCGCCCACTCTTTGCAAAGTGATTCGCCACCTCGCCATTTCTACGGTTTAAAGACAGGATGATCGGGCCTTCGTCGGGGACCGGTGAAGTCACCGAGAGTCGCGCGTCCTCCAAAAGGAAGGTTTTCGACGATCTAGACATCGACAGTCCCAAACGAAAGATCTTCGATGAGCTGGACATCGACAGTTTCTGCGAGGAGATCCGCCAGACGAACCGCAAGCGTTATCTCCAGGAACTCGAGACTCCGGAGGAGTTAGTGGCTACGTCGAACGAAATCATCACCGACGCGGCGACCCTCTTTTCGCCAATATCCGCTCAGGAGATCGTCGAGGAGTCGCAGGTGGCGCATCTTGAGGTGCTATTGGTAGACGGCACCAACTGCACCTGGACAACCATGTCGGAACTGGAGCAACAGCAAAACCTGGACGTTCTCGTGACCTCGTCCTCTTCGTTGTCCTTGTCGTCGTCGTCCTCGTCGTCGACCACCTCCGACCGTCATCCGCCTGAAACCTATGCCGTCGAGGAGACTAATTATCAGCCGGCGATGTCGATGAATTATTGGCAACCCGGCGTCGTACCCGCGGCATCGCCCGCCAACTCGAACTTTCAGCAAAATAAGGGAACGATGAATAATAATCAGCAACAGCAACAGTTCGAAGACCAGGAAAACGGGAATCTGTCGTGGCTGCTGGACTTTAAACTCGACTCGTTCATCGAAGCCGCGGACGACAGATCCACCGTGGGACCCACCTTGATAAAGGACAATCATTGCGGTGAGAAAAATGCAAAGGACAAAATAATACATTAGTGCTTTCTTGAATATTAAAGTTAAAGAGATAAATATTATTTATATTTTAGCGCAAAATTAAAATCTCAATTTTAAATAATTTAAAAATGAAATTTTTCACATGAAAACAGGTCACATAAAACAGATAATTTTTTACTTGCAGTTGCTTCCTTTCCTAATAATAGGAAATAGAGTTGAAATATTGTGTGTTTAATTTAATTTTAATTATATTGAAAATGTCTAATGGATTTTATAATCTTGAAATTGATTGCGCATTTTCAGGCAACAAGAACAAACCGAACGGACGGTCGCACAGTTCCAATTATGCCAATGACATCAGAAGAGGACACGAGAACTCATCGATGTATCGACAAGACTTGAATCAGACGACTTATCCCGCCAACGGATTCGACAACCGGAATTTTTCGCGATCCAACGGACCGAAAAAACCTCCCTTCACCTACACGGAATTGATAGAGCATGCTTTGCAAGAAAGAGGCGAGCTCACGGTCTCTGCGATCTACCAATGGATCTCGTAAGTGCCATCAGTAAAAATTTATTATCAAGCGGAAAATTTATTATCAATCTTTTATTCGTCTTTCTTGTGAAGATTTGCCGAAATTATTATCCATAGCCGGCGCAGTGGAATATTATATAGTGTTCATGTATTTCTTTCTTTAATTACGGTTCTTCAAAAAATTAGCTATTTAATTCAATATAAAAAAATTTCAAATATATTTTTCTTTTTTTTCTTTTCAGTTTGATTTCTATATTTTTTACATAATTTTCTTTTTAAGCTTTTAATTATTGAGTGGAATAATAATCCGCGATAAATTAATGCATTAATTAAAAAATCGATAAGATTGAGAGGAAAATATTTACAAGCAAAGTATGCCTTCCTTATTTATGTTGCGATCGCGCAGGAAGCTTCCTACGAATTTACACGAGCATGGCCCACTGTGGTCGGGGGTGGGTTGACGAGGGGGTGAGCTGCTCCTGGATGGTACCCATTGGTACCACTGCCCCCGTTGCTTGGCACCACCTGGCACCAACTCCTCACCCTTCAGCTATCCTTTGCTGCAGCCCTCAACACGAATGCGCACAATTTACTGCTCCTGTGCCTTCACCTGTTCGATCGCCTCGAGCTCCTTGGGAAAAGCCTATATAGATCATCCGTATAACGTACCATCGTTCGAGTTATAAAAAATATATAAGAACTTTGCACCAAAAGAGATAGACTTGTATTAATTATATTAAAAGTAATATCTTATAAATCTTTTTTTGTTTGAGTTATCCGAGATTTCCATCATGATTAAAAGAGATTAAAACAGACATTTTAAATTGAGAATGGATAAGGATGTTTCTTTCGAAGATGCTTGCAATATTTTTTTTCCATAAGTTTGAAGTTTATATGCGATATGTGAAAGATATATGAAACAGATTTGTAAGATCGGTGACACCATTTGTCGCGATCATCGTGATCAGCGGAGCGAGTAAACGCGTCGTTTAGCATTTCGAATGCACCCTCGATTCGAACGCTTTTCGGTCTCTCTTCGTCTTCCACCAAAACTCGTGGAATTAATCGCGTAGGGGGTAACGCACCGTGACATCGCTGCGAGCAGGTGAAGGAAATTAGTTTCGTGGGGACGTAAATTGCCATCGTGCGTTTTTACGCGCGATATCTCTAATCGCGTTTCCCTTTGATCCTACATTAGGGTATACTAAGACCAAGTCTATTGTCTTGTCTCGTAATTTGGAAAATCAAGACGAGATTTTTAATTGTTAGTCATCAAGATGATATCAAGTCTAAGATTGTTATTGGTTCTTGTAAAGATTATTGATTAAAAAAAATTAAAATATATATATTTGTGAATTAGATGAGAAAGAAGTTATGCAATTCATAATTTGAGAGAGATCAAGACAAGATTTTTTAATTAATCATCAAGATAATACCAAGATTCAGATTATTAAGATTATTGGTCTTGTAAAGATTATTGAATTTTTAAAAAAAGGTAAAATGTATAAATTTGTAAATTAGATGAAAAAAAATTATGCATGATATTACGTACGAATTTAAAAAAAGTTTATTTAATAAATAAGAATATTTTATTAATAAATTTAGAAACAATTAATAGTAAATAAACGACAAAGCTAACTAATAATAAATAACAATTGTTAAACAAAATAAACAAGAGAAAATTTACATGCAATTCATAATTTAAGAGAAGATTACAACAAGATTTTTAATTAATAATCAAGATAATATCAAGATTAAGATTATTGATTTTGTAAAGATTATTGATTTTTTAAAAAAGCTAAAATGTATATATTTGTAAATTAAATGAAAAAAATCATGCATTATATTATGTACGAATTAAAAAAATTTTATTTGATAAATAAGAGTATTTATATTAATAAATTTAAGAACAATTAATACAAAATAATAAAACTAATTAATAATGGATAACAATTGTTAAACAAAATAAACAAGACAAATTTATATTTAAATACAAGCCGAAATTTTTGCTACAGATTTACTCAAGACTAAGACAAGATTTAAATTTTCCAAAATTGTTAATACCAATATAATATTTTTATGAATCTTATCTTATGAATTCTGAAATCCTAATTTATGTATAAAAGAGAACTTTTATTATCATATAATTATTAAATTCAAAATTGTTCAAATAAGAAAAAATATGCAGAGATTATATTATAATACCCAGTGATATTTTTATAAAATTTTTATAAATTTTTATATATAAAATATACATTTATTATTTTATAATTAATATAATATTATAATTTTATAATTATTTTACAAAATATATAATTTATTATTTTCAGAGAGCATTTCCCTTATTACAAGAGCAACGATGATCGTTGGAAGAATTCCGTCCGGCACAATCTCTCGATAAATCCGCATTTTCGCAAAGGCTCGAAGGCGCCTCATGGAGCTGGTCATCTCTGGGCAATCGCGAATCGTAGCGATTGTAGACCTCGTCCGCTCGCTATTAATGGATCAGCAACCACTACACCGATGCAACAAGTTGCACAGAACGAGTGCGACGAATCCAGGAGTAACAAAATCATCAGGTGAACAGTCTAATTCTAAATTCCTTATCGTATCTTGTAAAAATAATATATTTAAATTATAATATATTTATACATTCGCTTTGACATTACAGCGAAATCATGGACGAAGTGGAGGCTGCGACGGCGAGCATCGCGCAGCCGAATCCTGAGGATGATACTGACAATATACTGAACCCTGTAACGCTCGAGGACTCCGCCGAGCAAATACTCAACGGAATAAAACGCGAGGTGGAAGTGCAATACCTAGTTCCCATGATGGTGGCCAACAGTGATCATGAGGCGAATCAACAGAATCAACAAATCGTCCAACAAACGGAGTTTCAATGTCCCTTCAAAGAGAGCGGTGAGAGAATCATAACGTTATGCATCTCAGGGAATCATTGAGAAAGATTAATACACATTTATGAAACGAAATTAACGAAGCGACTTGCAGATTTCCTGAATCCGGTGTCCAAGGAAGTCGTCGCCGAGGAATGCGGACTCGTGAGCGAGGGATACCTAGTGACGGATCTGAATCCGAACGCCTTTGGGTTGAACGTGATCGACCCCGAGATCATAGGCTCGGAGAACCTCTTCGGCGAGGAGCTTAGCTTCCAGTTTTATGAATTGACATCACCGTCGCAGCTGCAATCCGCCTGACACACGGAGAACAACAAGATACACTTTATCGTGATCGACGAACTCCAGATACAAAATACGCGGGCACTCGATGATGATGACCGACCGGTCTGCAATATTGCTGAAACCGAGGGGAACATTTCGGAGAGCGAAAACTCGCAGAGAAGATCGCCTGTTAGCGACCAGGATGAGTGCGCAACGACAAGCTGATCTTATTCGAATTGCGCAAAATTTTTACGATAACAATTTTCAGGAATGTTCGATCATTTTATTCACAATGCGACTGTTAGAATAGCTAGAAGTCAGCTTAACTGAACCAGTTAATTGATAAGCTTAGAGAGTGAAATAATGAGTCAACTACAGTATGAGAAGTACAGTATGCAAGTATGAGAAAATCCAATCTCTGAAATCTGATGCCACATATGTAGTTTGATGATTTACAATGATTGTGATGTTTATAACGATCGCCGAAGGACCATAGCACAAGATCCGACATGAATGAAGCATATTCGAAGATTATATCGTCCAACGTGTGCCTGGTTAAGTGTCTTAAGATAAGCGTCACTCATCAACTATGCATTAATTTCTTCTAGTCTTTTGCGAAACAGTGTGTAATGTTTTTGTATTAGTAAAGAAAGTATGATATATATATTTACTATTACATGTGTATATTGTCCTTGACATTTGTATTATTCTCGCAAGTAAATGTGAAATATCTGTTGAAAAGTTTCTACTAAAAAGATAAGCTTTCGTAAAAATGTAAAACAGAGATAGTATTTCGGGATATGTTTTGATCATAATCAATCTCGGGATGTCTCGTCATGTGAAAACGCTGAAATAAAATATAAAGAAAAGAGTTACAGGGTTTATGTTAGTCTGCTATAAACATTCAAACTTAACTAAGATTTAAAACTAATTGAGAGGAGTTAAAAATTATCAATCTATTAGCTACAATTAAAGTTTTACATTTTATTTTTCATGAATGAAAATATTATTCTGCAGATTTTCTTGAATCGGTTACTTCTTCCTGACCCTCACTTTCGGCCTCTTTAGGGATCATACCCAATTTCTCCATTCTCGTCTGCTTCTTAGCTTCCTTCTTCTTCTTCTTCTCTTCCTTTTCTTTCTTCTGTAACATCTCTTTGAATCTTTCATCGTGAGGTGAAATTTTGAAGCCAAAGTGTCTCCTGACTTCCTCCACCAAACGTTGCTTGCGCTTTCTCGCAGCCTGTAGCTCTTCTTCCTTCTTAGCGATTTTAGCTTTCAACTGTTTTGTCCATTCTTCCATCTTCATCATTTTTGCATGTATCTCATCATCTCTGCAAGTTCATAGTATATAATTAAACATTATAAATTATCAGTAAAATTGCATCGATAAGTAATACAATTGATAAAAACATACCTTGCTTTAATCATTTCAGCTCGTTCTTGTTTTTTTTCCTCCAGCTGCTTCCACCTTTCTTGAAGAGATAATGGGAAAGTGACTCTCTCATACTCTTTGGCATCATCAATTTCATCCTGTGTGGGCCAAGCAAATCCTGCCGGTTCATCACTGGCCTTTAATCCATATCTACCCAATATACGTCTCTTGTACTTCACTTTATGGTGATGCCATGACATAGGTGTGTCGAAAGGACGCAGGCCCATGAGGATGTTCCTGTGTTGTGGATTCAGTCGAGACTTGTCCCGCTTCCTGGCAAGCCTCTCTTGGAACTGCGGATCGTCCGTTGAAGAGTACACCGGTTTCTCGTCGGCAGTGGTTATGTCGATGACTTCAGCCTTAGGCTCCGTCGACCCTGTAGCGAGGAATCTTCCGAGGATGCCCTGGACTCGCAGGTTCGGACGAACGACGTCGTAGATTCGCCCCATTCGATTCATCGTGACATCGATTCGCCACCAAATAAAATCTATGTGTGATCACTATAAAGCACACATTAGTATCAATTAATTGTAAATATTAAAATTAGTTTCATTATTAGCATCAATTAATTGTAAAAATTAAAAATAATTCGTATCAATTAAAGATATTGTGAGATTGTGACAGATATAATGACAGATGAAGCAAACATGCATTGAAAGAATGTTATTATGTAGGAAGAATAAAAGATACGTACAAGAGGTATTTCTGAAGAAATCACATTTACGTTAAATAGAAAATAATTTGTGTTCACGGTATTTTTTTTCTTAGAATTATAAATGGAACTCAGCACTTACCTAGTTGTTATGTTAGATCAGGTCAGGTCAGGTCAGGTTAGGTTAGGTTGGAGATGGAGAACGAATCTCACAATCAGCTGAGACTCTCGTGCGCATACGCGAACGTCAATGAGCACATGCCAGCTTCAACAGGCTCGTAACTCTAATTTTGGAAAACCCGTATAAATTATAAATAAAATAATTATATAATTATTATGGCAAAAATATTATATATTATTATATAAAATAATAATAACAGTAATAATATAAATATAATAATAAATATATAAATAAAAATATAATAATATAAATAATAATATAAGTAAAAATATAATAATAAAAATAATAATAATAATAATATAATTATTAATTAATAATTGTTATTATTATTATTATTATTATTATGTTATTATTATTAATATTTTTATTACGATTATATATTATTAATTATTAATAGTTTTACTACGATTTGTGTTAATAATATTTATGTATAAATATTTATTTTTTACTTACTTTATTTTTAAAAATCTTTACAATATTTTTGCTTCCATTATTTAATATTTTATATTCCTCTTCCGCACAAGGTCCAATGACATCCTTTATTTCGTGAAATACATACATGATTGAGCGTTAGCTGGCGTTCGAGGGATTAAGGTGCAATTTCATTGACGCTAAAAAGTAGCGTCACTGAAAAGGCCGCTTTACGCGTGAGATTTGTTCTCTAACTGCACCATACAATTGTTTTTCTCTTTAGTACAGTCAGTTCAGTCAAAAGGAATAGATCTTGTATACCACGCAGCTCTGTACCACGTGAATTAGGTACGAGAAATATTAGAAGCTAAAGGTGTTTTGTGTGAAGATTATATACAATGGAAAAGCGTCTTTCAAGGGTAATTGATTTCACGAATTTTTATTTTATTGTGTAATATTAATTGGCAATTAAATATGTTACAAAAATGGAAATTATTCGATGATTAATTGTAAATACAGATACCAGGAAATCAAGGAATCACATACGGGACCTTCGTCTTCGTCGACGAGGGACATACTTTGGGAAATGCACTTTCTTACGTGATAAATCAATAGTACGTATTACTTAGACTTTATGAATAAAACAACATATATTAAACTTTACTAATAATAACTTCTTTTAATCCATTTTCTTTATAGTCCTGGCATAAAAATATGCGCTTACACTGTGCCTCATCCGGCAGAGAACAAGATACACTTCAATATTCAAACAACTGGAGAAAGTGCGATTGAAGTATTGAAGCGAGGTCTACAAGATCTTGAAAGAATATGCGATCATACCATTGAAACATTTGACACAGCTTACAAAAATTTCAAATCAAATGACACTCCTATGGACACTACGTAACATTCATTGTCATTTTTTTTAGATTTATGTATCATAGATAAGTTTTCCAATTATAGATAAAAATATACTACTAAATTTCATATATTTACTCAGATATAGCCTTGGCTCTTTTTAATAATGGATTTTTAAGAATAAATTTAATAATAATATAATAATTTAATAATAGATTTGGAAATAATGGATTATATAAAATATATACAAATTTGGATATCTATTAATTAAATAAATTCTTATAAAAGATAAGTACAAACTAATTGTAAGATATACAGTACACTAAATAATAATAAAGAAAGAAATCAAAGGATTGGAAAGGAAAATAATAAAATCCATTTTTTCAAAGACATTCCATGGAGATTGGATGTTTATTTAAACAACTTCAGCAGCTCTCACACCACCTTTGTGAGTCTTTGACAGAAAATCAGCAAATTCTTGATACGGTGCTTTAGCCAAAGCTTGTTCCTTCCATAAGTCGGGCGTCAGATACGCGTAAGTTTTGGCGATCGCGGCATAAGTGGCCTTGGCGAAGTTGCCGAGTGTGCAGGTGGATCCTCTGGCTGAGGTGTAGCAATCCTCGATACCCGCCATTTGAAGCAGCTTTTTGGGAACTGGAGCAGACACGATACCAGTACCTCTGGGCGCAGGTATCAGACGCACTTGCACGGAACCGCACTTGCCAGTTACTTTGCATGGTACGGTATGCGGCTTGCCAATCTTGTTGCCCCAGTAACCGCGACGAACCGGGACGACCGAGAGCTTAGCGAGAATAATAGCACCACGAATGGCAGTGGCTACTTCCTTGGAACACTTCACTCCCAATCCAATGTGTCCATTGCTGTCTCCGATGGCAACAAAAGCCTATAGAATATTGGCGTTTTTAATATTCTTAATAATATAAGCAAATAAAGGTACGAATGATAAATTAGAAAAAATTATATAGAAGGCTAAGGACCAAAGCCTGATCCTTGGCTTTCTACGTAATTTTTTCTTCGATTCAATATTCTTGTCAATGTTTCTAAATTTTTATATTTCATGTCTTTTTATTAAATTTAATTGCTAGAGATATCTGAAAAAAGAAGACACTTTTAGTTTTACCTTGAAACGCGTGCGTTGACCGGCTCGAGTCTGCTTCTGTACAGGCATGATTTTCAGAACTTCATCCTTCAGATCTGGACCGAGAAACTTGTCAATGATTTCATACTCCTTGATGGGTAAGGAGAATAGATAGATGTGCTCAAGTGATTGGATTTTGCCATCTCTGACCAGACGACCAAGCTTCGTGACAGGGACCCATTCCTTGCTATCTTCTTTCCCACGTCCACGTCCACGTCCTCTGCCTCTGCCACGACCACGGCCTCTGAGGCCTCCCCGATCGCCTCCTGCTCCACGAGAGCCAAAACCTCCACGAAAACCTCCACGTGTGGCTGGAGCAGCGTCCGCCATTCTGTGATTGAGTAATATATTATAAAAAAAATGCTTTTTCAAATCATAGATAATATTTATCCTGAAACATTGGAATTCCTTGAAAGCATTATTGATAATCGTTATGCCAGATATAGCCTTATCACTATATTTTTATAAGAAATTCTGTCATGTTTCAAAAGGTCTTGTCAAACTCCACATGTTGGAGAGCCACGCTTCATGATTAAAAATCAAGAATACGTAATAATCAATTATAATCTAAATATCAATTATATTCTCAAGTATTTGATTATAACCTAATTTGTTAGAGATTATAAAATCTGATTTTATAATCGTTACTGATAATATAAACGGAAATTATATTCTAATAAAATAGAACTTGAAAATACAATTGATATTTTTTGATAGTTACATTATTCTTTATTTTTAATCATAAAGCGTGAACACGCGATTCATCAACACGTGTTAATGAATTTGACAAGGCATTTTGAAAGAATTTCTTATGTGTAAGAATACTCATTTTCTAAACATCTCATATAATTGGCTGAAAAATATGCGAGTATTATTTTGTTATGGTATAAAACGTGAAAGGACGAAAAATTTCTCAAACATATATACTTACGTTATTTTTTTCAACCTCTTTCTTACACGTGAATCACGGAAGAAGATTGTGATCGATTGTCCAGATGGCGCTTTTTATGCAAACGTCATGTCCGGTGTTTCAAAAAATAGCGCGTATTTTTTTAATAGTGTTTTATTTTGTTAATAGTGAGGACATCTTTCAAAGAATATTACATAGATTTTAAAGATAAATGAACAAACTCGATCGTTAACATAATAAATAAGCATGCAATTTTAATCGTAAGAGATATTTAATATATTATGTTATTAATTAAGATAACTATTGCGATACTTATTAATAAAATTAATATTTAAAATTAATATTAATAAAATGAATAAAATGATTAAAAGAAAAGCGTAGACTTAATGAATCATTTATTTTTAATGTTTAAAATATTATTAAAGAATATTATTTGTAAATTTGTTTATAAAAAAGGGGCATTTTATAATACATTCAATAGCTTATTTTTATTGCGGAATGATATTTTATAATTGTAACAGTAACATATTATAAAATCAAATTTTTCTTATTTAATTTTTCTGCCTTTTATATAAACTGATACTGTATTATGATTATTGCTGGAATATATAAATCTTTGGAGTTTTTTTCTCAAGTGTATTTTATAAATAATTTATAAATCATTTTCTCTAAACTTATCCAACAAGCTGTTTTTTGTGTTCAAATTTATGATGAGAGTTTCAAATTCTTTCCTTTGCATCAAGTTACCGACTTTGTCTTGAATCGAAAGCACTAAAATATATTCAATATACACATAATTAAATTAGAGTACATATTATTACATAAAAGGACATATTTATAGACGATAATTATATTATTTCTAATATGTAATATTTGAACTTTACCTTTAGCAGGTAGCACACGTTCATTTTATATACGTTTCTTAAACGTATCTAATGTTTTTTAATCGTAAAGCATTAATTAAAAACGTTTCGAGAAAAACGTTTTTAAAATTATAATTAAGAAAACGTATTTTTCACGTTTCTATAAACAGAATAACAACTGATTTTTAATTAATATCAAATTATATATACATATAAACATACAAACATACATACATATATATATGTGTATATATATACATGTAATTATTACGAAAACTATATATTAAGCGAATTATTTTGATTTTTAGCATCAAATAAAATTTGAAATTTGCTCGAAGATGACAGATAATTTGCGATTCTACAATCGTAAAAAATTATATGATATGGAGATATTATGTACTTATATTTATCAAATTCCTACAAATTGTAATAGAAAGAGAAGAAGATTAATGGACGTGATATTGGAAAATAACTTTTCTTTATTTATTTGTTATAATTAATTTATTCACACACTATAGCTTCATACATCTGCGAATAAATATGCGATTTTGTGTATTTAATGAAATATCATAGAAAATTTGAAAATTCCATAAGCTGAACAGATTATTTGTCTCCCATCTTTCTTTCTTTCTTTTTTTTTAATTTGATATCATCCAATTATGAAATCATTACATCAAAAACATACAATAAAATTTGCAGTTTTTGAGATCAAACAAAAAAAAATGAAATAAAAGAAGATTATAGGAAAGCTCAAAAAATCTAGGAAGAAAATTCTCTAAACACTTTTGTAAAAAAAAATAGAATTGTTTCAAGTGAAAGGTTTATATGTGGAGTGATCATATAATCTACAGAATTACAACACATTATTTTCCTTTATTGACAATCAGTTTTATTTAACTGACCAAAAAAATTTATATGACATGCTGTTTAACATTTATTTATTGAAGTTCACTTATTTTATTATATTTAACATATTTATAGATAAAATATTTTGGAGAACTTTTCCGGATAAAATTGGTTAGGCGTGACAGTGAAGTGAAGCGCAGCTCTTAAACTTTTTATAAAATATGCTAAGATCGAACTTTTGTTTGAACTATCGATTGAATTATCGCCATTTCCTCCTGATTTGTCTCCTTCTGATTTGTTTCCTCCTAATGAATCAAAATTGGATTGACTTGATACAGTCGATATCATTGCGATAGCCATCATTATCATGAAAGCAAATACAAGTTTCATCTGCGAATGTTATAAATTAAAAATTAATAAAAAATAATAAAGAAATACAAGATAATAATACAAAAATTAAAAAATGTCAATTATATTATTAAATCTATAATATTAAATTTAAGTGTTATTAAATTAATATTTATTCTTGGACATATTTATGATAATAGAGTGTTCTTAGGCTCCATAATGAATAAGACTTAAATTTGTAGAATATAAGATATTTGTAGAATATAAGACAGATAACATATTGTTCGTATATTTAATGTTGCTTAAATCGATTAATTTGCGATATTTTTTACTATATGTATATAAGTTCTTTTATAGCGTAAAATAATAATTTGAATAAATATAGTATTAAAATTTAATAAAATAATAAAGTGTTAATAAAAGAACATCAAGTACACTGCTTTGTTATACAGGGTGACCCATTTTAACTTAGGCAGCCAAATAACTCGAAAAATAAGCACACTACGAAAAAATGGTTAGAATCAAAATTTCGTCATTTCGAGGGGGACGTACAATGACGTTAAAATCAGCCCCCCCTCCCCACCCCCTGGGCGGTGAGGGGGGGCAAGTTTGAAATCTTAAATGGAACTCCCTATTTTTCATTGCATATTCTTGTAGCTTATCTCGAGAGCTTTCCAAAACACTATAATTAAGTACCTTTTTATTAAGTACTTTTTGAGTTATAAGGCTTGAAATAATTTCTTAATTTTACATAAACCATATCTAGTAAACCATTCATTTTTCGATTATCTTACCTTCATACTTTTATGTACAAAATAATGAGAGGAATCAATTGGTGTAAAGAAAACATACAGTTGTTTTTAAGAAAAAATATAGAATTGTTAATTGCAAATTACAGAAACGAATGCGCACTGGTTCGGCCGCCATGTTAGCGCGTGTCTGCTACGTCATACGCGTCATACGGAAATCGGAGTCATACGCAGTTACACGGATCGTCGTACGTCCGCATTTTTCGCATCTTTTAACCGTTTTTAAACGAATATCGCGAGTGAACGAGCGTCGAGAGTGTCCAAGGATGATCGTGCGACTTTCATAATATGTCGGTGAAAGTGCGCGACAGCTATTTTTCACAGTTCAGTGATAGCGCGATCGCGAAGATGGAGCGAAGTCGCGTCGCGTTATTTGCGCCCTTGATAATGATTATCGGATGCGAGCGAATATCGGGAGTGCCGAATAAAGTGTCGCGCGTTCGCGTTGATGATATCGTGTGCATCAAGATTGGAATGGGACGTCCCGAGGCGAGTGAGCGGAGCCTGTGGAACAACCGGTGAACGGTGAGTAGATGTGATTTATCATATTTGCGTGACAATTCGTGCTCATTCGACGCTTATACAGCATCGCGATATCCCGAATTACGTTCGAACAAATCGGCGCCGCATCATAATTCGATGCGATGCCGTGCAATTCAAATAAAGTCGATCGCGTGAAGATGGTTAGGCTAGAAGCGATTTCAAATTTATTTTATATACGCGCAGTGCTGCACAGCCTATCTCGTAGGGCTGCCAACTGTTAAACGATAAATTTTTTCAATCTAACCTAACCTAACCTAACCTCTCAGTGCTTTGGATGTCGAATGTAAACACAAGCGTATGCTGCCTGGATTTTATCATGCTTTCAAAAATAATATTTAATTATTTCATTAGTGTATTACATTTTATTACGTAGTATATTAATCGTATTAAATGTGCGACGTACAGTTTTATACATTTTAATGAGAAGCATATAATATAATTGGTTAGGTTAGATTAAATTAAAACAAGCTGCTGTGATTCATTTAACGTAATAGGATTAATTTGACGAATGTGCAGCTGTTGAAGTTACATGATATTTGTGGACACATTTTTAAAGTAATCATGAGTGTCTTATCTCATCTTGATTATATGAAATTAAAATATAAAATATTTATGTATTCCACATTAACGTTATTCATTACAAGTACTATATTACTTTTCTTATATCTCAATCATATTTCATCGATGAAGCTTTTCATATATCGCAGACAATATGATACTGTTTGTGGAATTTTACACAGGTAATACATGGCACAAAAATAATTTGTTCTAAAGTATTGTGCGCATTTCTCAAAAATAAATCAAATTAAATTATTTTCAGAATCCAAAAATCGCTACATTGCCAGGATTGTATCTTATTATAACTGCGATATTATCACCTTTTAATATGTGTGCGCAGTATTACATACATAAAATATATAAATTTATTTGAAACGTATGGAAATCTCTGTCTTATTTATAATATTTATAATATTATAAAAGAAAATTGCAACTCTAATGAAACAGAGCGGTGAAGTAATTGGTTGATACTTATGCTGGTCTACAATATTTACCCTTTTTTCACCATTAGACTGGTGCTTTTTTTATTATACAGATGTTGTCTGTAAATATAGTACTCGTAATGTTGTTTCTGTATTACTGTAAGCACACAAAAATGATAGCATTTGCAAGTAATTATGTTATACTTATATATCATAAGAAAGAGAAAATAAAATTAAAGTTGAATACTGAATGTGCTCTAAAGTAAATCTCATCTAAATAAATAAATGCATAAATGTGCGCCTCACATTCCTCATGAAAAAAATACATAATATTAATCTTTATGTATTATTATTTTTAGATTTGTTTTTTATTCTTTTAAATTCTCTAGATGCACTTTTCTTCTCTCTTTCTTTCCAACTACTAAATATAGATCTATCATTTTTAATATAGATCTGTCATTTTTAGTGTACATTATTGCAGTAAGTGGAATAAAGAGCAAATCTTTTGGCACATTTAAAATGTACAGGAAAGTCAGTTTTATCTGATGCGTTTTTTTCAATAGAAATATCTGAAAAAATTCATACGTCTTTTTTAATCTTAGTCTTTCTAAATAAAAATTAGAATAATAAATTTGCAAAATAATTTGTTTTAATATATTTTTAGTGCAAACATATGAAGCAAAGTGCTCAAGGTGCATCACTATGAAAACATCGAT